CAGTTGTGTACCACTGTGCCTGGCAAGTTTTGTTGAGATGGGGACTCCATAACTTTTTGCCCAGGCTGGCCTCCAACTGCCATCTTCCTTGGTGTGGTATCTTGACTATTTAGACCCTGAAATGAATTTGCACAGGTGGTTTAGGTGTGAGTTGGATAAAGATCACATAATGATGCTTTGCTTTTGAATCGGTTTTAATGAACTATCCTATCTAAGGCTGCTAAACAGGCTTTGTTTGGTGTCACCGCCATCATCAGTTTGTTAAAGCTTTCCCTCCCCCTACCTGTGCTGTACTGTTAGTTTATTAACAGTTTCCCTATCATCTGCAAATTATTCAGCAAAACTAGCACTTACTGGCTTTGCCCCCATTTTATGCCCTTCCTCTCATCTCTTCCTCCTCCTCCCACACTTTAGCATGTACTCTGAGGTTCCTGTCCGAATATATCCTGATGAAAATGCTGTAGTTTTTATATTTGTCGCCTTCCTTTTGAGATTTATATGTGTATATCAGTTTGTCACTGTGATCACTTTGTTAATGTATTAAGTGAGTCTCCATCACAGGCCTTTTGTCTCATGACATCCCAGTTTGTGAGTCCTTTAGTCTGATTCATCTCTTGCTTGTTTATATCTTTTAGAAGGAAATCACAAATGTCAATTATAACACAGGAACAGCTGGGAAACTGTGTTTGCCAGCTGTTCATTACTATAGTGGAATACCTGGGGCCAGATAACTTTATAAAGAGGTTTCTTTAGCTTGCAGCTTTGGAGGCTAGAATTGCAGACAGCATGGCACAGGCTCTGGGGAGGGTCCTCCTTGGCTGCATCTTGTCGTGGTAGGAGGGTGTGTGGCATCTCTGTGTATGGTTTCTCTCCGTTTTCTTATAAAGCCACTGGAATTCAATCATAGTGGCTACACATGCAGCCTTATCTAATCTAATCAACTTCCAAAGACACCCCCCCACCTCTAAGTTTTCACCCTCTCACTGCCATTTATACAAGACTTTGGGCATCAAACTCCTGCAAGAGTTTGAGGGAACAAACTACATTCAAGCCAGAGCATTAACTCCCAAGAACTGACAGTTTCCACAGAGACAGCATCTGGTTCTTGTCAATGAACAAAGGCAAAAATAAAAAAAGATGGGAAAGGGGAAGGGAGTAATTGTAAAAATAGAAGGGAGGGAAGAGGAAAGGGCAGGAAAGGTGCCAGGCCAGGAAGAGAGACTTGTTTTTCTAGTTAAGTGATTAAAGGTGGAAGATGTCTAAGAGGCCAGGCTGGGCAACTTGTTCTTGGTAGATAGGTTGGCTAGGTCATTAGAGAAAAAAAATCAGCTAGTTGTAGGTTTTTACAAGTATTGAGAGACTGTCCCCAAGCTGCCTGGCACTGGTCCTTCTGGCCTCTCCCCTCAGAAAGGCCAGGTCACTCCTTTTCCCCTATGGAATTTCTGTGAGCTGGGGCTTCTGGTGTCATCACAGGGCTGAGGACATCTGCCTACTGACATCACAGTTTGTAGACTTTTCTGGTCTTAACATTTTTCCTTTAAAATTCTATAGGTCATATTCTGTTTTCTTCTGGCATATGAGATGCTAGGGAACTCTGTAAGCTGCCTGCTTCATTCTTTCTCCTTTGAACTCTGCCTAAATCACTGTATGGTAGTAATCTTTAGTAACCAAAGAAAATATTTTAATACAATCTGCATCAGCTATTTATTTACTTGTTTGTTTTCTGGAACACCATTTTAATCTGTAGATTCATGTCTCTTTTGCTGCAAGAAAATATTGCAGCATTTTTCCAGTTCTAGTAGTTCTGTTTTCCTTCCAGGTATATGAATTTTTTATTTGTTGGGTCTCCAGTCCAGGCCTCTGTATTTATATTTTTTTCTTAATTCCTTTACTCAGCTTTTTCAAATTTCATATAGTTTTTTTTTTAATGTGGACTTTTCCATGTTTGAGTGGCTTTTATTCACAAAAGACTTACACTTATTTAGATTTTAAGTTACATGAGTTTATTAAATAACAAACTTAAATGCCTAATTTTCATTAAGTTTAGAATGTTATGAATATTATAATTTTATTTGCATATTGAATATATTTTATATAAAATGAAATGAGTACAACTTTGATAAACTCAACATGTCAAAAAATTTCACTTACACTTTTGGTCCCAATTTCGCTCCTGTGTATTTAGTAAGCATTTCAATTGTACTTATGAATTTGATATATTGACTTTTTTTTTTTTCTTTTGGTGATACTGTGGATTGAACCCAGGGCTTGCTAGGCAAGTGCTGTACCAGTTGAGCCATGCTCCCAATCCTTCAACCCTTTATTTTTTTTGGTAGTAGTAGGATTTGAACACAGGGCTTCATGCTTGCTAGGCAGTGCTCTACACTTGAGCAACTCAACCAGCCCTTTTTTGTGTAGGTATTTTCCAAATAGGGTCTCCAAACTATTTACCCAGGCTAGCTCGAACTAATCCTCATCTGCCTCCTGAGTAGCTAGAGTTACAGGCATGAGCCACCAGTGCCTGGCTCCAACCCTTTATTTTTTGAGATAGGGTCTCACACTTTTGTCTGGCTGACCTTGGACCATGATCTTCCTGAGTTGCTGGGATTACAGGTATATGCTACCACACCCAATCCTTATCTATTTTTAATTTATTTGAATATTTTTAATGAATCTATTTGTGTACCCTTTTTAGTGGTTGCTCTAGGCATTGCATAACTTATCACAGTCTGTGACATTTTGCCAGTTTGAGTGGAGTATGGAAAACTTACCTCCTTTATGTCTTTTACCCTCCTCTATAATACAACTGCATTAGATATAATTTCCTGTATATACATTTAGAACCACATTGGTGATATAGATTTTGCTTCAACTTCAAGCATAATTTAGAAGGTTCAAAAAAAGGAAAGTCTGTTGCATTTACCTATATCTTTGCTCATTGTGCTTTTGTTTCTTCCTGATGTTTCAACATTTTTTCTAAACAGAAAGGAAACAATATTAGGTGTTCTTTTAGACTTCTTTTGTGTCTTCTGGCAACAAATTCTCTTAGTCTTCCTTCACCTGAGACTGTCTTGGCTCCTTCTTCCTTCACTGGATGTAGGGTTCTAGATGTTCACTTTTTTTCTCTTGGTACTTGACAATGTTGCACTCCTCCTTTCTGTTCTGGTTTCCCATGAGAATCCATGGTCATTCAAATAAAATTTCCCCATACAGATGAGGCAAGGAGCCTTGCTTTGTTTCTGGCTGCTTTTGAAGTGTTTCTTTTGGTATGTTTCAGAATTTTTGGTTTGACATGGATTTCTTTGACTTTGTTCTGTTTCAGGTTTACTATACTTTTAAAATATGTTCTTATTTTCCAAATTTGGGACTCTTCAGCCATCATTTCTTTGAGTACTCTTCAGCCTCACCTCCTTTTCCTTTCTTTCTAGGTCTCCAGTGACAAGAATGTTTGCTACTCTTGTTATGCTCTCACAGGTCCTTAGGCTCTGTTCATTTTATTTTCAATCCATGTTTTCTCTTTTGTTCAGACTGGGTAATTATTCTTCTTCCAGTTTACTGCTACTGAAGAGGAAGATAGCCTTGAAACAGGGTTGTAAAACATGGTAAACTGTCAATTAAAAGCTGTAACCTTGGACAGAGCTGTGAAGAATTGCCCATTAGAGCCATGCAAAAGTTTGGGACCAAGATGAAAGGCACCATGCAGAGATAAGCACCCATTCCTGCCTTCCTTTGTCTCCACTTGTAAATAAACTTTCCAAAGCAGGACTCCCCTGCTATTCTTATCTAAACCTTAGGTCTCTAACACACTACTGGCCCTACTTTATGGGAGAGCACATTCCTTGTAACCTGATACCCTGCACTGCCTTTTAAATATCCTGTGAATCCTTTGTTCGGGGCTCAGACACAGGTATACATCTGGGCCCGCTAGCATAAAATTAAAATCTGAGTTCTCCACTCCTCCGAGTGTTGCTTGGTTTCTCCTCTGACTATATTGCCACAACACTACCAAACTTTTTATTTCGTTACTGCATTTTTCAATTCTAAAATTTCCTTTTGGTTCTTTTAAAATCATTTTTACATTTACTTACATGTATATATATTGTTTGTGCCACTCCCTCCTCCCCTCCTTGGTTCTTTATATCTTCCATGTCTTTGCTGAGACCACTTTTTCATTTGTTTCAAGGGTGGCAATAATTGTTTGTTGAAGCATTTCTATCATGGCTTTTTGCAAACCTTGTTAGAAGGAGATGCTGGTGTCTCACTCCTGTAATCCTAGCTACTCAGGAGTCAGAGACCAGGAGGATTGTGGTTTCACAGCCAGCCTGGCAAGATAGTTCAGAGACAGTATTTCAAAACTATCCATCACAACTTTTTATTTCGTTACTGCATTTTTTCAATTCTAAAATTTCCTTTTGGTTCTTTTAAAATCATTTTTACATTTACTTACATGTATATATATTGTTTGTGCCACCTCCCTCCTCCCCTCCTTGGTTCTTTATATCTTCCATGTCTTTGCTGAGACCACTTTTTCATTTGTTTCAAGGGTGGCAATAATTGTTTGTTGAAGCATTTCTATCATGGCTTTTTGGCAAACCTTGTTAGAAGGAGATGCTGGTGTCTCACTCCTGTAATCCTAGCTACTCAGGAGTCAGAGACCAGGAGGATTGTGGTGGTTCACAGCCAGCCCTGGCAAATAGTTCCAGAGACAGTATTTCAAAACTATCCATCACAAAAACGGGCTGGTGAAGTGGCTCAAGTGGTAGAGTACCTGCCTAGCAAGTGTGAGGCCTTGAGTTCAACCCTGGTGCTACCAAAATCTTTTACATTATTTAACATTTCTGACATTTCAATGGATTATCTTCCTTCATTCAGTCTGAGAGCTATCTAGCTCTCTGTATCACAGTTATTTTGGGTTGGATTTCTGGATACCTTAGGTGTATGAGGCCCTTAGGTCTACCTTCTGTTTTAGTTATATTTCCCTGACACCACTCCTTCAGGAGATGGCGGGGCTGTGGCCCTATTACCTCCAGGTGAGGGTCTAGGCTCCCGAGTCTGTTCCTTGACACTGAAGGGGTGGTCTCATTACTTCTGTGAGGTGGGAGTGCTGGCTCCACACTAGACTCCACAGATACCTTCCAGGCTAGGAGGGGTAGAGTTCCTTTTTGCTGCTCCTCTACCACCACAAGGGTAGAGTGGATTCTTGATTGATTGTCCATTAGGTCTCTTTTGTTTCCACCACAGAGGGGAATTATAGGAGTGCCTCATTACTTCTGGTAGGGGGGACCACAAATCCAGGCTCCCCACGAATCTCTAGTGACATTGCAGGGGGTGCTTTACTACTCAGATCCCTACCTGTCCTTTTCTGACACTGCCTCGATAGAAAGGTTGTGGTGCTCATTACACCTGGTGATAGTGACAATCTAGGCTTCCACTTGTCCTTTGCTCTTGCAGGTGAGGATGGTGTCTGGCTGCTGAAGAGCAGAGCAGCTGTTGTCTCAAAATTTTCTGTTTTGCTAAGCTGCCCATTTCCTGGTCTTTGCAAAGAAATAGACACTTTCATTGGTTTTGTTTGGGGGAGTTACATGTGTGGGTTTTTAAAAAATTTTTTTTTTGGTCTGTGTTTGTTGGTGTTTCTGAGTATCTGACTTCCTCAAGTTCCAAGTCTGGGGCTTGAGCTATAAAGAAAATCCAGGAAAATTTACCACTTTACCTTCCTTTGGATCCCATGGCCCCCAGCTGGCTGCTTTCTGCTACCATTTGGGGTCTCATTATGGTGAGTCTCTGTTTAATGTCCAGGACTTTCAGTTGTATTTCCTTGAAGGAATATGAAAAGTAGGTTTACTCCATCCCCCAGAAACCCTTATTTATCAAATTGATAACTCAGCAGGCTATTAAGCAAAATTTCCTATATGCTATGCTCAAACGATTCTTACCAATCTTCAAATATTGTAAATCCAGGTCTCTTTCACACTTAGTTGAATTCTCTTTTATTTGTGTATTTAAAATTGTAGATCAAAATTCATTCACTTTTAAAATCAGAATTGTTATCAAATGTCTAGATTGGCCTCCCTAACATGTGGCCAAGGCAGGCACACATTATAAGGTCTGTAAATAACAAACATAAACTAGATGCTTTTTTTTTTTTTAATTTAATCTTGGCAGTACTGAAGTGCAAACTCAAGGCCTTGCACTTGAGCCACAACCCCAGCCCTTTTTGCTTTAGATTATTTTTTTGGATAAGGTCTTGTGTTTTTTCCTAGGCTGCCTCAGACTGTGATTTTCCTATCCTTGTCTTCATGTAGCTGGGATCAAAGGCACATGCCACCACACCCACTTGTTTTGTTGGGGTGGGGGAGTCTTGCTAACATTTTGCTCAGGCTGGCTTCAAACTGCAATCCTCCCCATCTTGGCCTCCTGAGTAGCCAGGATTGTAGGTGAGAGTCATTGTGCCTGGCTAAACTGGATATTCTTGAACTTCTTAGGATCAAAAAGACACAAAACAGCAGATTGTCATATCAAGCAAGCTGAGCTCACTGGGTGGGCAAGTCAGTGCTAGGCAGGTCAAGATTGCTCAGAGCAAGGCGATGTGGGCTGGGACCTGAGTACCCAGTCATTATTCTGAGTCACTATGGCAGCAAGGGGCTCCAGGTCGATCCTCTCAGATGGGACCATATGCAATCCCACATTGCCTGGATCCAATTCTTTCTTAATCTTTCAACCATGCCTCCCTCTAGTCCACCTAGATTCTCCCACTGACCGGATCCACCTGACTTCTGCATCTGGCTCCTGCATTAAAACACTTCTTTCTCTTTCTAAAGGTGGAGACTCTCCATCTTAGGGTGTCTAAGAGCAGGGGCTCAGTGATGTCCTCTGTTCTTTCTTTGTCCCAGGTGCTGGATGCCTCCAGTTTGTCAGGTCTCCTCTCACACCCAGGCCCAGCCAAGAGACATGATTTCTCTCTGCACTTCAATTTTGTCTTTTGGTCTTGTTTTTTTGTGTGTGATAGTAGATATCTAGAAAAAAAGTGTTTTCTTTTCTTGTGTTGGTCCTGGGATTTGAACTCAGGGCCTTGTGCTTGCTAGGCAAATGATCTACCATTTGAGCCATGTCTCCATGCCTTCTTGATTTTCCCCTGGGTCAATCTTAGATTTTGATCCTTCTACCTACTCCTCCCGCTTAGCCAGGATTACAGAAGCAGCCATGTCCTGCTTATTTGTTGAAATGGGATCTCACTAACTTTTTGTCTGGGCTGAGCTCAAATGTTGATTCTCCCGATCTCCACCTCCCAAGTAACTGGGACTGCAGGTATGAGTCACCACACCTGTCCCCAGAAAGACAGTTTTTGTAAATATGGTATCATTTACAAAAAGACTGTCTCTTTCAGAAATACTTTGGGAAAAAGCGAGAGAGCAAAATGCACCTTATTTTTCTCCATTGCTCCAGAGCTGTTTACAGGTTCCCTCCATGAGGGAGAAGGAAGGGCAGTGATGGGTAAATGTTCTGGATTTGCCATTGCTCAGAAATTCCTTCCTCTTTACTCCTCTTTTGGGTACCTGGCACGGGGGAACCTAAAATCGGAAAATATAGCGCCGCCATTACCTAGCAGATAGCAGCCTCTCCAAAGTGTCTGCTGAACTTAATCGATACAGAAGACACTGGGGGAAAAAAATAGAGCCGACTTTGGAATCAGACCCACCTTTGCTCAAAGCAAGGATCTAAGATTTACTCTCCGCACAACTTTGGGCCAGTCATTTCACCTTTCAGGGTCTCGATTTTCCCACGAATATAACACCCGTGGGTGAAGCCAATGTTTGGGTTAGGGGCAGGTCTGCCAGCATAGATGACAAGAACACGCCCCCTGTCGCCCTGCGATACCTCCACCGGGCCGCGCGGTGGCGCTGCGGCATTGCCGAGGCCTGGACTTTCGCGGGGGAGCTAGGGCGCGCAAGCCCCTGGGGACCCTGACGGCGGTGGCAAGGCGCAGGGAGGCCGCGGTGAGTGCTGCAGACTCGGGGGGCTCCCGCTCGGATCCCATGACTCCCAGGTGGGGAGGACGACTGGGTGTCGTGGAGCAGGCCCGGGACGGCGCCCGCAGCAGGCGCTGCAAGGCCGGCCCTGCCATGGGGCCCCGGGCTCTGCGGAGAGAGGGACGGCGGGAACCCGGAGACCCCGCCCGGTAATCCTCCGCCCACGATCCAGCCAAAGAACAGATCTTGGACCGGGAAATCTCCAAGGCCCAGGATCTGTGCTCTGATCCCCGACCCTATCCACTTCTCCTGCAGGCTCTCCCATCTGTCACCCTGGCCCTTCTTTGCTTAGATGGTGTCTTCCTCTCCTCCGCCGAGAATGACTTTGTCCACCGCGTCCAGGAGGAGCTTGATCGCTTCTTGCTGCAGAAGGAGCTGTCAAAGTAGGCGGGAATGAGGGAGCGGCTTTGGTATTAGGAAGGGAAGGAAGGGTTCCCCCCCTGCAAGGGGTTGCACCCAGGTAACTGGCTGGCAGCCGACCCTGACCTCGGCTGTTAGCCTTAATGACATCTGTTGGCCTCATCCAGCCACATCTTTCGTTTATAATTTTGAACATCAGCCCAAGACGGAAGGGGCCACCTATGGTGCCCTGGGATGGGGTTGGGACTTATAGCTCCTTGTTATGACTTTATGCTCCTGTCTTTGAAGTTGGGCTGGGACCCACTGGGGAAGAAGGAGTCTGGAGTAAAGCCACCACTAACGGGACCTGGCGGGAGCTGGACCAGCAGCCCCTTCTCAGAACTTCTTCTGGTCCCTTCCCAGGGTTCTTCTTTTTCCGCCACTCTCCAGCCGACTGCGGTACCTGATCCATAGAACAGCAGAGAATTTTGATCTCTTGAGCAGCTTCTCCATTGGGGAAGGCTGGAGGAGAAGGACGGTCATCTGTCATGCGGATATCAGGTATGCATCCTATGGCCTTGGGGGTCTTCAGTGGTAGGTTCCCTGTGGTGGTCGGACCAGCCCCTGGGAGGACAGAGCTTGCAGAAACCAGGGCCAGGAGCCTCCGGGGGCTGCTGCCTCCATCCCCAGCCTCAGTTGAGTAGTCAGAGTGTCTTTTGCTTCCACTGTGATACAGCTGCTGCTATTGGAATTCACCTGGTTAATACGCTGATCATGCTGGGGCCAAATGAGAGGGATGAAGTAGTGAGAGTGGATTTGCCCACTTTCTTTCTCTTGACCATGTCACCCAGAGAGATGGTGACACAGGGAAGCACCTGCCAGTCTGTAGTCATCTCTGTTCCCATGTGCATTTCACACTTATCATTGTGACTCTGATCTTAATGGTTAAATGTACATGTTTTCTAAGAACATAGTTTTTAAATGTATTTAACTTACCTGATGTGTACCCAAAGACTCAGTGATCTCTGATTTGATTATAGCATTCTAAGGTGAGCTGGCTGCTTTGTACTTGCGGGGATGCCTTCAAAGGAATTTTTGAGGGTCAATTTGGCTTTGGGCTTGCCAATGCTGACTTGAGAGTGTCATGCCTGGATGACAGGTGAGTCCAGTAAGCCTTTTTCCTGTGGGCCTGACCATACTCTGATGATGTGCTCCTGTTTCTGCCAGGGTGCCCAGTTCAGATGGCCCCTCCGGCCCCTGTCATCCTCCTGCTCCCACCCTGGCAAGTACCGAGGTCCTCGGCCCACCTCTAACCAGGGAGCATCTGCTGGTCCCCGAGGTGCACGGGCTGGCCGATGGCATCGTGGACGCAAGCCGGACCAGCCTTTGTATGTGCCCCGGGTGCTGCGCAGGCAAGGAGGGCAGCAACCTGTACCCCAGAGCTCCAGGGAGAGGCCGCAGCTGGCAGAGTCTCAGAGGAGCCTGCAGGTGCTGGTGCTGGGGACCCTCACACTGAACAGGGACTCCCCATGTTGATGACTCAAGGGACAGAGGACCAGAAGAGCCCAGGCCAAGGTCTCAAGGATGAGCTGCTGCTGGAGCCAAGTGGCATTGAGCCCCCGGGGGGGCCTGAGAGTCCCTCAGGGAAGGAACATGGGGCAGAGACGGCCACACAGCTTGGGCTCTGCCTGCAGCCACCTCTGGAGGAGGGGACAGAGAGTCAGCTGGAGCAGAGCCCAGTGCACAAAGAGGGGAGGAGGAGGAGGTGAAGAAGGAGGAAAAGGAAAAGGAGGAAGAAAACAAGAAGGAGGAGGAGGAAGGGCCTGGCAGCCATTCTGAGGATGATTTCAGTGAGCTGCTGCAGGAGGTGATGAGGCTCTTGAACCCAGAAAAGGGAGGGCGGAAGTGAGGTGGGTGTGGCCACAGGTGGGTGGGGACAAAGGGTTTTGGGGTGGGGCTGGGCATGTGCCAGGTGGCTTAGGCCTGGGTGTTGGGTGATAGGGGTTCTTTAGGGAACATAGGAGAAGAGGTGTGGATTGGGGTCCCAGATCCACAATTTAGGAGCTAGTTCATCCTGGTCAAGTCATAGCTTTTCTAAAAGGTAGCACCTTTCACAGGAATGTGTTTGCAGGTGCTTTGCCATGCACTACTTTCTGCCTGGATCTTGACTTACATTTCCTTGGAATTCTATAGATGCTCCTGGGGCTGGCTGTGGGGCAAGTTGGGAGGGTAGGCATCTTTGATTGCTATTTAATTTTTAAATTAAAAAAAATTTTTTGGCAGTACTGAGGTTTTGAACTCAGGGCCTCATGCTTGCTAGGCAGGCACTCTACCACTTGAGCCACTCTGCCAGCCTTTTTTGTGTGTTGGGTATTTTTAAGGTAAGGTCTTGCGAACTTTTTGCTTGGGATTGGCTTCAAACCACAATTATCCTGATTTCTGCCTCCCAAGTAGCTAGGATTACAGTTGTAATCTGACTAAAAATTTTTTTACTTTTTTACCTTTTTTTTTTTGCAGTACTGGGGTTTGAACTTAGGGCCTACACCTTTAGTCACTCCACCAGCCCTTTTTTGTGAAGGGTTTTTGGGTTTTGTCAGGATAGCATCTCACAAACCATTTGCTCGGGCTGTCTTCGAACCATGATCCTCCTGATCTCTGCCTCCTGAGTAGCTAGGATTATAGATGTGAGCCACCACAGCCCAGCTTTATTTATTTATTTATTTTGAGACAGGCCAGTCTCAAATTCACTATATATCCCAGGCTGGCCTTGAACTTGAGATCCTCCTGCCTCAGACTCCTGAGGCTACCACACCTGGCCTACTTGGTATTTTATATGTGAAGAGTGGAGAATGGAGACTTGCTTAATAAGGGAAGGAAAGATACAGAACTTGCGCAGCTCTGTTTCTTAACTGACTGCATTATGGGCAAGACTACTTAACTCTGCCTCTCAGTTTCTCCATCTGTAAAGCGGGGGTCTATAGAATATGCTTTTCAAGGTTATGTGAAATTCAGTGTGTACAGGTGCCAGTCACCCAGTAGGGATTCCATAAAACTTAAGTGCCTTCCCCTAAACCTCCCATGTCCTGACTGTTCCATCGCAGTCTGTCCATTCCATCTGACTGTTCTAGCCTTGCCAAGTAGGCTCCCTCCTCCATGCTGACCTGTCAGAGGAGTTTTGAAGCAGTTGTTTGGGGCCCTGTGTGTCAGAGCTTTCCTTGCCAAAGGGTCTGATTGCTCCCAGATCACAGCCAACCTGACTGAGAAGGAGATCCAGGTAGAGAAGATTCATCTGGACACAGCCTCCTTTGCAGAGGAGCTGCCTGGGGAGAAGGACTTGGCCCATGTGGTGGAGATCTATGACTTTGAACCGGCGCTCAAGACTGAGGACCTGCTGGCCACATTTTCTGAGTTCCAGTGAGTGCACAGGGTCTGGGGGAGGCGGGCTGCTTGCTCCCTGGAGAGGAGCTAGGGCAGCCCTTTTGTGGTTAGGGACACTTGCTTACCCCCCACTGGTACTTAATGCCCCAGATAGAAAGGCAGAGAGCTGGCATTGTTGGGCTCTGTGCTCCTGGCAGTTCTACCTGCTAGCTGTGGCTGTGGGGGGACAGCCCATGTTTTACTGTAGACGCTTCCTGCAGGCTGGAGGCATGGATTGTCCCTGTGTGCTCACATGCCTGCTGGGGCCAGAGCCTTCCTCAGTCCTTGGGACACAGCAACCCACATGACTCCCTTTCCCACCCCTGCCAACTGGTCCACGGTCTGCAGGCCAAGGGTCACCCTGGTGTGGAAACTGTTTCCAGAGAGATCTGTTCGAGCAGCTCCAGTGAGGTTGGAGAGATGCATTCAGACACAGGACTTCTCGGTTCCCCAAGGTTCCTGTGGATCCAGCCTCCTGTCTTTTCTTTTTCCTTTTCTAATTCCCATTTTTTTTCTCCATTTCTTGCATGGGGCTTTTTAAATTTAATTTTTTACTGCAGTAGTGGGGATTAAACCGAGACCTTCACACATGCTAAGCAAGTGCTTTACACTGAGCTACACCCTAGGTTTTTTTTTTTTTTTATTTTTTATCCTTTGGTGGTACTGGTGGTTGAACTTAGGGCTCGTACTTACTAAGCAGGCGCTTTACCACTTACTTGAGCCACACCTCCAGCCTCCTCCCCCAGTCCTTTGGTTTGTATTTCGTTTTTGAGATAGGATCTCGCTAACTTTACCAGGTTAGCATCAAACTGGAGATCCTCCTATCTCTGCCTCTTGAGTAGCTGGGATCATAAATGTATACCATCATACCCAGCCTGAATGGATTTTTAAAACCCCCTTTCTTCCCCACCCTCCCTTTTGACTTTGCTTCCTACATTGTCCTCCCTTGTGGTTTCTGTGCTTGGTCTCAAGAGTTAGTTGGGGGTGGGGGTGGAGGGTAGTTTGCTCTTCTGTTCTCTATCCCCAAGGTGTGACCACCAGGGCTGCCAGTGACTCATCTGTCAGCAGGTGGGCAGTGCCACTAGAGGAGCTGAACCTCAGCTGCTTCTGGCCTCTCCAAGCACAGAGCCTGTGGTGCCTTCCTGAGCAATGGAAGAATGTGCTTATTTTTGGTCCCATCCTCTCCCCCACCACATAAACCCTTCAGCTCCAGCCTCCCAGCCCACATCCAGCCTGGCTGTGACAGTGGCTGGGGAGCATTCTTCACCCTGGCCATGGTCTACATGAGCCTTTCTAGTCTTGGCTCCTTCAGTTCTAGATACCGAGATCCACCTGACGTTCCTCTTACTGAAGCCAACCGAATAGTCCTGAGAAAGCTTGTGGCAAATGGTTGTCTCCTTCCAGGAGGACACAGGATCAATTCCTTGTCTTGGGGTCACAGTATTCAAGGATCAGAGGTGGGAGGGAATTTGCCAAAGGGATGACAGGGGGCCAGTGGCTTTGGTAACCATGTCCACTCCCCCACACAGGGAGAAGGGGTTCAGATTCATTGGGTGGACAACACTCATGCACTTGGCATCTTTCCTGCCTGGCCTCAGGTAAGGCACTTCAGGGTGGTACAGCCCTCTCTCCGACCACTGGTGACAGGGAGGATGCTGGGTTTCCAGGGTGCACTGGGTGAATGGCTACCATGTCTAGGTGCAGGCCACCTGAACCTGTGGACCCAAGTGTTCTACTCCCAGCCAGCCTGAAACAGTCTGGGGTCCTGGACGGGCTATGGCCCAAGGAAGCTCTCAGGAGTCTTCAGCCTTTCCTCTTCATGCAAAGGCAGGCACCATGGGCCAAGCCATAGATTCTTCCACATAACGAATTAAACCACCAGGAAGTGCTTTTTTTGTTTGTTTATTTGTTTGGGGGTGGGGGTGGGGCACAAGCATTCAACATCTGCAATGTCACGTTATTCAAGCAGATGTATACTTCTCATTCTGGTTTTATGTCAGCCTTGGGATGTGGGCTGGGTCATCCTGGTCTCACACACAGGAGGCTAAGGTTTCCAGAATGCTATGGTCTTTGCTGGGTTACAAAGCTTCTCTCTGTGGAAGGTGATGGTGCCTTGTAGCCTTCTGACTGTGATTCAGTGTTCCTTGTCAGCCACTTTCCTGTGCTGTCCCTGCCACCCCACTGCTCACTTTGGGTGTATTTAGAGTTCCTTTTTTTTTTTTTTTTTTATTTTGGTGGTACTGGGGTTTGAACTCAGGGCCTTGCACTTGCTAGACAGGTGCTCTACCACTTGAGCCACACCCACAGTTGGGTGTATTATAAATAAGATCCACCTGCCCGCCCACCTCCTCTCCATCATGGCGTTCTGAACACAGAACAGGGAACACCCTGCACTGATGTGGCTTGGACCTTGGAGTGGCCAGAGAGCAGGTGATATTCACGGAGCAGAGAGCATGAGGTGGGGTGGGGTTTAAAAGCCTAGGGAGAGAGCCCCTGGAAGGAAGCAGGGAAGGAAGGTCAAGAGGCCACCAGATGTCATGGAAGAATGAACCCTGGCTTGGGGTGCCATGGCTGTTTCTGGGCTTTTCCACAAACAGCATAGCAAGAGCAGATCATGCCCAAAACTCAGTCTGTTCATTTGTAAAACAACAGTGATCAAGGACCTGGCACTTCTCCTGGCTCTGCCACACATACTGTGTGGTGTGACTGGGCAGGGAACATAGGTGTCCCAGGAACCTTGAGTGATAGAAAGTTAGTCTGGCTTGAGCTCCAGGCCTTTGCAGGCAGAGCCTGCTCCTCCTGATGTGAGTGAGCATCACGGCCTTGCTGCTGTGGCTGCTGACCACCTGTGCTGGGGTATCACCTGCGAGCACGGCAGTACCCATGTGTAGATCTGCAGGGGACATGAGGTGAGCACAGGCTGTCTTTCATGCTCAGCCAGAGCGTGGCAGAGCAGCCCTGCCAGAGTGGACTGGTGTGTCAGTTGTGGGTGATGGTGTGCTGTGGGACTCCAAGGAGTTTTACCCATGAAGAGATCACTACAGATCTGCTTTCTTTCCCCAGCTGCCGAAGCCCTGACCAAGGATTTCCCCAGGCTTAAGATCCGCCCTCTCACGCAGGAACCAAACAGTCCAAGCTCAAAGCCTTGCAGAGGCCAAGTAAGGGCACGCTTGTGGGGAGGCGACGTGTGCGCGCGTTTGCTCAGAGCCAGGTGGGGTCGTCCCTCTTGGTTCTTCTCCTTCAGTTCCTGCTCTTTAGGAACCTGGGCTACAGCAGCCAGTGGGTTGTACTTCCCTTCCACAGAGGGTGTAGGGTGTCTAGGGCCAGTCACTGTCTGGGAATGCCCTTCAACTCACAGTCTCTCTGGGCACTGCTTGGGTGAAAATGTGACCCTCCTTCCGGAAGGAAGGGCCGTGGAATCCATACTCTGCAGGTATAAACAGTGCTTGGACTTTGGGGTCAGCCCTGGCTGGGATCCTGACTCTGTCACTTATTTAAGTTGACCTGGGGTGAGTGACTTAGTGAGTTGGTTTCCTCCTCTATAAAGCAAGCAGAATGTACAGGGTAGACTGGAGGCTTGAATGAAAGACCACACAGCCCAGCCTGGAGCAAAAGGGCACACAGAAGGTGCCAAATAAATGTTAGTTTCTGCCTTTTGCTCTTCTCCTTCCAGAAAGCATGGTGGGGCTTTTAGAGGCTAATTTTCTAGGACTGAAAAGTGGTGGCCAGCAAAACAGGCCTAGGAGAGGCCTGCTAAAGCCATCCATACTTTGTGGATGGTGACGTGGCCTTTATCCCAGGCTCCCTGGGAGCAGCAAATATCCTGTTTCTGTCCAAGACTCCAGCTGTCCCATCCTGACTTGATTTCCCTCCCAAATAGCCCTATGAACAGGGAGGTGGACAAGAGGTGGCAGGTGAGGATCCATAGGGTGCCAGGAACCCCGAGGCCTGAAGGCCTCACAGGCCCCCTCTCATGAGTACCTGGCCACGTGGACACCTGGGCCACAGGCCCTGCCCCATACACATAATTAGACTCGGTTCCCTTGGCCTTCCAAGGCTGCTCTGTCACTGGGAGGGGAGATGGTCATAGCCTTGAATCCAAGACCCCCACCTGGTGGGGCCTTCCTTTCAGAGCTTCTGCGCCTGATGAAGGAGAGGCCACAGACAGATTGCAGCAGTAGCCCGGAGGCTGTGGCCCAGGCTCTGGGGCTCCAACACAGAAAGAAAGAGCTGCCTGCTGACCCAAGTCTCCTGCCTCCCTGAGGCTCCAGCCCCAGCCACCTGGACTAAGCTGGGTCCCCAGCACCGCAAGCCTTTACAGATACCAGGACAGCCCTTCGCCACCACTGGAGCTTCACTCTGGGGCCTGGTAGGCTTTAGCTGGTCTAGTCCCAGAAATTGAAAAAAATAAAACTTTAAACATTGTACGGTTGTTCAAAATGTGATGGTCTGTGGGGACACTAGAGGGTGCTGTCCCATCTCTCACTGTGGCTGCAGCTGCTGAAGACCAGATCCTCCTAAGGAGCCTGGAGGATCCCAGCTGGGCCTTGGGTGCATTTGTGCACACGCTGCCCTGTGTGAGGGCAGGTGGTATCTGCTCTCTGCCACTTGCGCAGTCTCCTTCAATACTTCTGGTCTGAGCACCAAGGCTGGTTGCACTGTTACCCATCAGTGTGGGTCACAAAAGTGCTTCTTGCATGAATATGAGCAAAGCCAAGGGGCGTGATCTGAATGCAGGCTGAGTTTGCTTCCCTGCAGGAACAGATGCAAGGGTGTCTTTATAGGAAACTAGGGCCAGGCCCAGTGGTTCAGATGGAAACCCAGGTACATATCACGGGGCCTTTCAGACCACATTCCAAGTAGGTATGAGATGAAACAGGTTTGGTGACCATCCTTGTCACCTAGGACGTGAGTGATACACTGCAGAATTGAAACAAGAAAATGAGTCACTTTCACAAATGAGCTGGTTTTCCTTTTTCAGAGCTATATTGTCAAAGGTCCAGATGCCTGATATTAAATGCTACAAAATTACTTTGTGTTCCAAAGGCTGTGAACATGTAACAATTGTATCTTGGAAAATAAAAGGGTGGGGAGAGAAGCACCTACTGTGAAGTCAACTAATCAGAAACATGGAAGAATTACAGTAGTCCTCCCTACTTTCACTTTCTCAGTTTTACTCACCTGTGATCTGAAAATACTAAATAGAAAATTCCAGAAATAAACAGCTTGTAAGTTAAATTGCACACTGTCCTGAGTAGTGTGATACAATCTTGCACTGTCCTGCTCTGCCTTGCCTGCGATGGGCTTTATCCCTTTATCCAGTGTATCCACTTTGTATTCACTACCCACCATTAGTAACCACCTGAGGTATCAGATTCGCTGGTGAGGAATCACAGTGCTTTTGCTCAAGTAACTTATTTTACTTGATAATGGCCACACAGTTCAAGAGTAATGATGCTGGAATTCATAAATGCCAAAGAGAAGCTGAAAGGTGCTTCCTTTAAGTGAAAAAGCAAAAGTACAGTAGGTATTTTGAGACCAATCACATTAACATAACTTTTATCACAACCATTTTATTTTATTAGCTATTGTTGCTTCTTTTACCGTACTTAAATAAAACTTTACAATAGGTATGACGGTTAAATTTTTTGTCTGTACTGGGGCTTGAACTCAGGGGCTCCCCTTGATTGTCAGCTTGATTGGACTGAGAAGCACCTAGGTGATTGGGAAAATGCACTTCTGGCATGTCTGTGAGGACATTTCCAGACAAGATTAACTAAAGGGAAGACCCACCCTGAATGTGGGCAGCACCATGTAATAGGCTGGAGGCCCGGATGGAATAAAAGGAGAAGAAGGAAGCCAGCTAGGAGCATCCTCTCTGCCTCCTGTCTGCCATGAGGTGAGCTGCTTTGCCCCACCTCATGTTCCCAGTCATGATGTCTGGGCTTTTACCACAGGCCCAGAAACACAGAGCCAGCTGAGCATGGACTGAAACTGTGAGCCAAAATAACTTGTCTCTCTCAAGTATTTGTCACAGAGATGAAGAGCTGACACACACACAGAATTGGCACCAGAGAAGCGGGGTTGTTGCTGTGACTGCCTGACCAGGTGGTTCAGACGCCTTTGGACCTGTTTTGTGGGAGGAATCTGGACAAGTTTGGAGAAGCAGGCTAGAGAAGGGCTGGAATTCTGCAAGCAGAACTTAATGGGTGATTCTGGTAGGAGCCCAGAAGAGCAGAACACTGACAAGAGAGACCATATTCATGAGATGTCATATGTGAACAAGGACTCTACTGGCAATCAGAATAGAGGCCATTCATGTCCCATTCTGCAAAGAACTTGTCTACGTTTTGTCCATGCCCTAAGACTTTGTGGGAGGCTGAGTTCAAAGTGAGTAATTAATTTGACAGAGGAAAGTAAGGCAGCCCAGCATTCAAGCTGTGGGTAGCACAGTTACTGCTGGCTGCTTTTGGCTAGATATATAATGAGAATCTTTTTCAAGTATTTGTCACAGCAACGAAAAGCTAACTAACACAATAGGTATATATTATAGCAAAAAAACAAAAACCAAAAAAAAAACCCCCAAAACATAGTACATACAAGGGTTGGTATTATATGTGGTTTCAGATATCCATTGGGGGTCTTGGAATGTGCTCCCTGTGGTAAAGGCGGGAGATAATATATTTCTCACTGTGACTATAACTGACTAGGGTAGAGGCAGTTGGTTTAATTAGAACAGAGGTCTATATATTCAAGTTTGTCAGAAATGACCTAAGAGGATGAGAAATGGGATTCAGCCTGACCACCTCTGGGGTTGACAACCTCACCTTTTCAAGATGTACCTTCAGAGGAAAATGGCCATCTATGCAGAGCCTTGGGGGGTCAGACTTAAGATGGACTGTGGCTTGGATTGGATAAGCTGATGATGGCCTCGGTGACACTTGAGGTCCTGGGCCCTCAACGCCGTTCCCACAGCCCTGTGGACAAGCCCTAGCCCCCGAGGCCTCCCCAGGTCCCAGAGGTCAGGCAGCAGCACCTGGTGAATGAGGGGCACCCCTCCTCCTGAGCTGGGTCTGGGAGGGGCAGGCTGTGTTCATGTGGGGATGTGGTGATCCATCTGCGGGGGGCGGGAGGAGAGGAGGAGATACAGTGAAGACAGGTGACCTCGAGGCTTCTTTACTGTGTGGAGAGCTGATTATTTAAGAGTCCACTGAACTGTTCAAACTTTTGTTCTGTCTCCTCACTGAAGGATCCACCTGAGAAGTGGGAAGCGGGAAGAGAGAGTTTGGCAAGTTAGATGCTCAGGCCTTGCCTGAGCCAGAGTATTGGCCTGAGGGCCTCTGCTGGGGCCACCTCTGAGCACCCACAGGGTAGGATTAGGCACTGGCCGGCTGTAGGCCAGGTGTACAACAGGTGGCCTGTTAAAGAGTATGTGTGCCTTTAATTTTCATCATCACCAAAAGTGAGTTCCGTCACTTTCCTGCAGAAAAGAAGGTTCTTTTCCTTTTGTTCCTCAGGTTGCATAATCCGAGGGAAAAAGCCTCTTTATTGGAGACTAGAGGCTAACAGTGATTCACTATACACTGGGCCCACACATTGCTGACACCCAAATTTTTGAGGTCACTTGCATAATGATTTGGGATCCTCAGCTCCACCGCTTAGGTAGCTTTGGGCTCTGCTTCCCTGGGCAGGCTGCTTCTGCACTGTGCTTTTCCTTGGCTGCAGCTGGCTGAGAAAACCCTGTCTCCACCCAGGCCTTCCCGAGGGTGGGAACGTAATGCTGGCTCCTCTCCCTGGCTCCATCCCCATGCGAGGAAGCTGCCTCTGGTTCTGGAGGAAGTGGAGCAGCTCCGGCCTGAGGCCTGAGGCTGGGGACAGCGCAGGGCTTTACCTGTGTGGCAGTTGTACATCCAGATGCGGTAGCCATCATAGCGGGTCCTGCATTTCATGATGTTGTTGGAGAAATCAGATTCGGGGACCTCGTAGTTGGGATTAATGACAACCTGGGAGGAATCAAATCGGAGGAAGCTGCTAATTCCCTTTTCTTAGCCAGCCTCCACCCCCAGGCTGGAGGGTTGAGACCTCATGTCCCTCTGCCTGTCTGGTGTTAAACCCCTCCACCATTCACCAAGGGCAGGCCTTAACAGTCACCCTCTTCTGGGGTCCTGGTTCAAGCTGCTGGGCCTTCCCCAGAGAAAGGAAGAAGCAGGTTTCTGAGATGGGGTGGGGAAGGACAGAGTGGTGTGGGACAGGAGAGGGCTGTCCAGGGGTGCTGGACAAGACTTCAGACACTGTATTTCCTCTCTCTGGCCTGGTGGCTACTCTGTAAATAATTGGTTGGACAAGGCGATCCTGAGGCCTCATTCTGCTCTGCTCTGCTAGACTCCCAGGCCCAGAGCCTGCTGGCCTTCTGGCCTGCAGGGGAGAGTAGATTCCTCTAGGTCTCCATCCCTATCCTCCACATTTCCCCAGCTGAGTGAAAGGGCCCAAGGCACAAAGATGGACAATTGTTCTGACAGAAATCTGTGGAGACAGAAACAGGAAGATTTGGGGTGAGGAACCCAGGAGAAAAGAAATCGGGCAGGAGGTGGAAAGTGAGGCCGTCAAGGCTGGGTGTGGGGCAGTGGGTGTAGGTGGGGGGCACAAATGAAGGGCTGTGACCCCCTGGTGGGGCAGGCTGCTTGCTAGTGAACATTCTAGAGGTGGGGTTCCAGAAAGACCTGGACAGGACTCTCTAGAAGACCAGCTGGGTCTGCCCTAGAGGTGCTGTGGGATTCCAAGGCCAGTCTGGCCTGTGCTATGTCCTGGCCTGGTAGGAGGTACTCTGGGAGACCTGTGACTAGGCTTGTGGATGGACCTTGTCAAGGCTCTGTCTTTTCAACCAGTGGTGAATGTTCCTACTGTGGGGTGTCCTGACTTTTCTTTGATCTCTTTTCTATCCAACAGCCTCGCTGTCCCCTCACCCCCACTCACTGGGGCATGAGACAAACAATGCCTCACTTGCTGTGACCCAGGCAGCACCTTCTCCAGCAGGTGTCCTGAAGTGTGGCTACATGGGCACAGGACGTATCAGGCACAGGATGCTTGTGTTGGGTCTATCTGGGCGAGTGTGGTCTGTGTTGTTGCCACGGTCTCACCCCACTAAAGCTCACAAGTGTCTGCAGGAAGGGGCGTTAGTTCCCTGTATTTCTGTGAATCTGGGAAATGACGATGACAAAGCAAGGACCACCAGAAACCTGGACCCACCTAGACAGACCCTTAAGCTTTTGTGCACAAGCTCCCCACTGGAAAGCCACTTCCTCCCCACTTGGCACCTTCCTCCCATCCTGGCAGCAGGCTCTGGTGTCTGCCACGGAGGCCAGCACTTGTGTCCTGGACTCCAGGCCAGATGCACACATCTATGGCTGTTTCTCTGCCAAGGGAAATGCTCTTTAGTTCCTCAGAGCATTAACACGACTCTAATGAGTCCATTTGCTAATTGTACAGTTTAGGGTCAAGAGCACAATATGCAGAGTAGGTGTGACCTGGGTTTGCCTGGCCATGAAGTGAGGGCTGTAGGAAGGCCCCTTCACTGGGAGATCCAATGGGGCAGTTCATTCACCTGGCCGAGGAGGGCCTGACCTCTCACACGTCTTCCAGTGTCTGTCTGAATACACGTGGCAATACACACTCACTTGCAGAGTGGCAGCAAACTACCCGCACAAACTACCAAGCACCTTGTACGTGCACACAGCCACGGACATTCAGTCTCTAAAATGAACAGCACTCGCTCTTGGACTGGGCCTTTCCAAGGCTCCAGTTCTGGTCTCACAAGTGGGAAGGGCTTGGCTGTCTGGTACTGCCCAGGAGCCCTCTCAAAGCACCCTGTGGTCACTTCTCTGCAGGTGTTTGCTCTTTAGGGCAGCGTGTGGGCCAGAGCCTGTGCTGGCTGAACACCTCCTCAGGAAAGTTTTCAAGGTATAATGACACATTTCTGGTTACCTACTTTGCCACCCAGTAGGGCAAGCTGGGAAGCAAGACGGGCGTGGGGGGGTTGTTGACAAAGAAGTCTCTGCAGGCAGGAGGATAGCCAGCACCAGAATGGGAGACAATGTGGGTACACTGTCTTCCCTTCTAAATGGGTCCTGGCCAGAGTATGCCACTGTTTGCAGGAAGGTAGGGGCCCACGGCTCCCTAGCTCTTCCTAGGGATGGTCAGCCTCCCAGGCAGGGTACATGGAAGCCCTGGGAAGTCTCAACAAAACAGACTCCTGGCCAGGCTTGACATTCTGCCATTATAGATGCATTTCTTTGCATGGATCCTCTTTTCTGAGAGAGGGAATCCCAAACATTTGCAAGTTAATGAGACTCCTTTCAGCCTCAACAGCACAGACCAAGGCAGGGTGAGGGCACTGTGGGAGAGAAGCTCAAAGAAGGCTAAAGATGTGGTTGCCTCAGAGTTCATAGAACCAGTTCCTGGCCCCAGGATTAAATCAGCCTGCAGTGTTTGGATTCACAAGCATCGGAGGTGAACTGAATCGCACGTGAAGGTGTCGAGCATCTTGGAATCCCACAGGCCCTCCACACTTCCCAGTCCTCAGGCCCACAAGCCTTGCTTCCTCGGGTGACTAGACAGATGCGGTGGCCTCTGCCTTTGAGCAGCCTGGCCTCCACACACCTGTTTCTCCACACCCCCAGGAAGGAGGCTGCTGCAGGTGCTTCCCCTCGTCCCAGCAGCAGAGCCAGGATCCTTTTCCGCCACCTCACCTGGAACAGGTAGTCTCCAGGGGGCACGTCGGTGATGTCCACCCACTGGCAGTCGATGTCATGGCGGTACATGTCCCAACAGCCCATGGTGATGCCCTGCTCACCGAAGTTAGCACACTCATAACTCTTCTGGATGTCTGTAGGCAGGGGCAGAGGAAGCGATCATCACCATGAACCCGGGTCCCCTGCTGCATCCCGGTCCTCTGCCATGCATCTCATTCTGCTCCCAATCCCCCATCTCTGCTTTGTCTGCACTTAGCATCCCATCTCACCAGGTGGATTTTGATCTCGCATTTCCATGGAGCCCCTCACTCAAAGCCCCACCCATGTGCCACTTCTGCCTGCAGGCCTGGCTCAAGATCCCCTCTCCTCCACGAAGCCCTCCCTGACCACTGTGCCCAGCCTGGCCTGTCTGAGCAGTCCTTATCCTGGAGATGAAGAGCAGGCTTATTTGGGAAATCTCTGGGGTACACTGTTTAATGCGGGGCTGCCTCATCTCTGTCCTCGTAGTAGCAGCACAGTGTGAGCTCCTATTTTCTCTCTCAATTCTCGCAGGTTGTCCATACCTGGGAGGTGCTCAGAGCCTCTGCTGAATGACTTTGTGGCATGTTAGCAGTGGGTCCCTTCAGTGAATGCAAATGAGACACGTATGTGGAGAGGCTGTGTGTCTGGCATCTTGATAGGCTGTGGGGAGTGTGAGAATGGCTGTGTTTCCCCTCGAAGGGTCCGCAGGGTGTTAGGTGATCACTGTGTGGGCGCCGTGAGGTACTAGAGATGTGTGCAGAGTGCTGCCCCTGTCTGGGTGTTGGGGGGGTAGGCAAGAGAGACTGGAACCTGACAGGGGTCTCCAAAGCTTGGGCCTGAATGGTCGCAGTCAATTGGTTGGGGAGAACTAGGTGTTGGGACACCCAGGAAGAAAGGTCTGTGGCCGGTGCAGGGGTTGGAGTCGGGTGGGTGGTTGTGTGTCAGGCCCAAGGGACAGGACCTTACATGGAAGGCTAAATAGCCTTACCAGTGCCCATCGGCACAACTAAGGGACAGAGGCCTTTACAACCAGGTCTCCCTCATTCCCCACCCTCAGCCCCAACCTGTAGCCATGGAAGGCCTCGGAGAGGTGGGCAAATGAAAGCCCAACATGGAGAAAGGCCACGTGGAGAGTGAACAGTGGCCAGTGTGACAAAGAGAGGGTGTCACGTTTGGTCTCCAGTCATGCAGGCATGGCAGTGGGAGCCTTTGAGTCCCCCAGAGCCCCCAACCTTTCCCACACAAAGAAAGATACCTCCTTCGCACTCTGTATCCTCCAAGCAGAAGCTGGCTTTGTGGCCCTCTGCCACCTTGGTGCCATTGAGGCTCAGCAGGTCATAGTGGGTGAACACTTCCATGCTGTGGTAGTGCCTGGAAGCCAGAGGCAGGGCACAGAGGTCAGTGGCTGGAAGCAGCTGCCAATTTGCATCTGGGAAATCTGTGAGCTGCACAGGCCAAGGTGTGGCCAGGAGAGGAATGGGGAAGGCGGGATAGGCAGAGGGGAGGCCAAGGCAAAGCTTTGGTGAAGCTTCTGGGTGCTGGTGTTGGACAAGCACTCACCTTACCACAGCTCAGTTCTCTCGTCAGCTAAGGAGAGTTACTGGTCTTAGTGAAGTCAACTGACAGAAGTGCCTGGAGTTTGATAAGCTCAGTGAAGTAAGCTGTTTTATTAAGATGGGACCTCCTGGCTGGTAGAATGACTCAAGTGATAGAGCACCTGCTTAGTAAATGTGTGGCCTGGAGTTCAAACCCCAGTCCCACCAAAAAAAATGAAGGAATCTCCTGAGTGCCCACCTGACTCTCATAGCCCACTCCTATCTGAGACCTTTCTCCAGATACTATGATTTGAAAAAGTGTCCCCTCCAAAGGTGCACTCATTACAGGCTTAGTCTCCAGGTTGGAGCTATTGGGAGATGATGGACTCTTTGTGGGTGGGGGCTATGGGAGGTTCTTAGGTCACGGGGAGCCAAAGGGGTGTGTAGGGCCCCAGTCTCTTCCATTCTTCCTCTGTTTCTTGGCTGGAGATGTGACCCCTTGTTTCTACACATTCCTGCCATGATGTGCCACCATCCACTGCCCTCACCAGAACTGAGTCAATGCAGGCATCATAATAGCTTTGAATGTCCAAAACTGTGACTTCAGTAAATCTCTTCTCTTTATAAGTTACCCACCTCAGGAATTGTGATATAGTAATGTGAAGCTGACTAGTACAACAGATTAATTTTAAAAATCACATCTAGTTGTCTTTTGAAAACATTTTAAAGTGAGTATTTAGAACAGAGGAAAAGAGAATGAAGAGAGGAATGACAAGGAGGAAAGAAGAGTCACTGACAGTAGGGTTCACATGTACCCTGGTGATATGTGTGCACTTCAGACCACAAGGGGAGGCCTCAGTTTCTCCTCAGACCCTGAGAGGTGAGCAACAGCAAGGGGTGCTCCTTACATTCAGCAAATCAAACAAGGAGGGAAGTATATGAGCCGGGAAGGCCTCTGGGAGGGAGAAGTGAGTCATTCTTGGGGGTAGACACATGGCAGTGGCACGGGAAGGCAATCCCTGGGGGTCCTGGAAGGGAGCTGGCAGAGGGGTGCTTGTGTAAGTAGGCCACATTTCCCTTGGCTGGTTGTTTGCAGCAGTCCATGCCTTCACTTGGGAGGAATTGAGAACAGATGCAGAGGCTTGGAAAGTGACCAGTTAGGTCAGGAATAAACTAGGCAAACATTGCTGCTTGGTGTTGCTGTGGGGCCTCCAGAATCACTCGCTGTCCAGGCCCAGCGCTGAGGCCCAGCGCTGAGGCCATGGGCTGGCTTTAGCCTCATCCCAACCTGCCACAGTGTCTGCAACCATTCTGGAGGGACCTTAGGAACATGGGGACACTGTGAGGTCAGAGGCGCTTGTTTGGTTATGCTTGACCTAGTTTCCTCCTATTAAAGAGGGAATGAGATAAATGGCAATAAATATCAGTAGGAGGCTGAACACAGAGGGGGCGCTCAGTGACCCTCAATGTCCCATGGCAGTGACAGCAGCAGTATTTAACACTTCCTGGGGTGCCTTCACTCCACACCTCATGTGCCTCTCCGCTGTGTGTGGGCAGTGGAGCACAGAGGGAAGAGGTTGATGGATGGGATGGGATTTCCAAGGGGAAATTCAAAGCTCTTTTCCCTTCCTCCAGTGTTTGCTTGTGCTACAAATAACACCAGAAGTTGCTAAGTCGGGCTTCCCCCAGGTCACTAATGTTTCTGGGTGAAGTGGTGCTGAGCAAGAGACCTGCAGACGATGTCACAAGGACCATTTTGTGCCTGTTGAAGCGATGACTGAGAGAGTCTATTTTGGCTTTCTGCAGGAGCCGGATGAGACAGGAGGTCTGACTCACTGCCTAAAAAATGTCTGCTTGCTCAGAGAGGGGCTTCTGTGAACAGGCTGGCTGGCTGGAAAGATTGAAGAGGAGTTGGTTTATGTTCCGTTGTCTAAACAGAATTCAGACAGAGCCACAGATGGGCTGTTGTGAGGTGGCCTCCCCCCACACTGGCCTCCTGCAGCCTGACTCCAGTCTTCTCTGGCTTCAGGTTTTCCCCTGTCATCACCGGGAGGAGCAGCTAGTTTCTGTCCAGAGAATCTCTGTTTTACCTCTGGCGTATGGAGGCATCCCTCCATCCTTCGGAGCATATCTCCTGTCTACCTGGCCCGAGGTAGAGCCTGGAGTCTCCCAGGAAATTCAGACAGGGGACTGGGAAGGTGGGAGAGCAAGTCCTGGAACCCAAGAAGGCCTCGTTGTTCCAGGCTGCAAGTCTGGGAGGGGAACTGAGCCCCGGGGTGGAGACAGGGAAATGCAGTTTAGGAAGAAATTCCAGAACACTAAGAGGCGGCAGAGTGTGGCCTGATGCTTGATGAAGTCCTTGTGGTGCAGCCTTTATGGGGACTCCAGAGCTCTGTACTGGCACTTGGCATTTGTCAAAGGAGGTACGGTATTGGATGAAAACATGAGTGACAGAGAAAGCCTATTCAGAAAAAGACCAGAGGTTCTGGCATATTCTTTGCTGTCTTAGGTCATTGATGGCCCTGACAAAACCCTCAACCAGAGACCCAGCACACTTTGCAGAGGTGCGTGAGCTCTGTGTCCTCTCCCATACTGACCCTGGGTCCCCAGAGCCTCTGGAATGGTCAGTTCTGGTGGCACTGGGCTGCAGTTGGTGCAACGCTCTTATCCTCATTTCACAGACACTATGGGTGTTTTCTGGTCCTTCTTATGGGTACCACCCTGCTGCCTCATGTGCCAGGCAACCACCTAGCAGGAACAACTGGCTCAGAGACCACCATCACATCCATGGGCTCTGGGTCACCATGGTGCTGCTGCACACTTGGGGAAAGCAGGTGGATTGGAAGGGTACCTCCCTCTGCAGCAGTGCTATCTGTAACTCAGGGGGCTGTCATCTACACTGGGGCCCACTCCTTTGCTCCACCAGATCCCAGCTCCTACCATATGTACCCCAGCTTCCCCAAGGAAGAGGGCTGGGCTTCTGGGACATAGCAAGACAGCTTCTCAGGACCCTGCTGTGCACTTGGGTCTAGCTCTATCTGGTCCCATCAAGCTGTGACATGGAGCGGGTGTGGCCCCACTCCCTGGGGCACAGGACAGCAACTGCAGGAAGATCATCAGCCCAGGGCACAATGCATTTGAAAGAACAACTCTGAGGGCATTTTCCTCTGTGTCCAGTTGGTAAAGAATCTTCCAGGGACACCAGTCTTTGTGTTTCAATTCTGGGCTTTCAAAGAACACAGCTCTGTTCCTCACTATAGCATCAGATAAATTGAGAGTGGCATTTTTTTCCCCATTCACATTAATTTCAGCCAGGGCTCTCCTGCTTGGCTTCACAGATGGACTTCAGAGTGTGGGTAAATGTGCTGAAATGGGAAATTGACTCTTCTAGAAATACTTCTTTTTTTATTTTTGAGTTGCGGAAGGGCAATCTTTCATCAGCTCCCAGGGGGACCCAACAGAGGTTGCAACCAAAGAATCTAGAGAAGTCACGAGGGGCTCTGGAGGGCAGGTGGGGATCCCTTGTATGGTCCCCAGGACCTTATGATCATAATTTGAGTTATGGACCACAAGGGGTGGCCTGGACTGATGTACACTTGGACAGTATGCCCTTCCCTATCCTTCCTTCCCAAACTGTTGTCGGGAACATCGGTAAGCAAAGGAGACAACAGACCACAGGTAAAGTGGAAGGAGTCAGAGTCCCCAGGGCTCCAGATCAGAACACTGCCATGATGTTACCACGTGGCTATTCTTAGAGCAGAGATGGATGGCTCAGAGAACAAGCGTATGGCACTTGGGCAGTCCTCCCGTGTAATCTTTGGGTGGGTCACCATATGCAGGGATGAGATGCAATTATCTTCCACTTACAGTCAGACCAGCAGCCCCCACTGTCCCTGACTTCCAGCCACATGTCCTCTGAAGGAAATCAGGCACCGAGATCATTGTGACTTTACTATGACTTACTCCCCGAAGAAGACTGATGTGGGAAACACCAGAAATTCTTGTTCCATTAGGACTCACCGTATTCAGACAGTCATTTTAAAGGAACGCCAGCATCTCTAAATGCTGTTGTTGGGTCTGGAGACCACAGGCAGATGAGAGAGTATCCCATTCCCCCCCCCCGCCCCCCCAGAGCACTGCATTCCTGCATCCTGAGAAAGAGTTGTAAACCTGCACTCCTGCTTCCTGAGAGGGAGTTGTAAATTCACATTTCTGCATCCTAAAGAAAAGATACAGGGTCCAATAGATCTGCCACAGGGCTGATGAGCAAAATGCTCTCAAGATTGTTTCCCTTCCCCCATAAAGGTGCAAACCAAATCAGTTCACCTGCGAAAGCCTGGGAATCCATGGCCAATGAGAAAAACCCACCTAATCCAGAGTTAGAACGTCCACAAAAACCCCAGCCTTCACCTGAGCAGCGAGCTACTGGTTTCCGAGCTCCACTGCACTTCTCTAGCTGTAGCCTTTCCTTTCTCTCTAATAAATCTTACTTTATATACCAGATTTGGATCTTCATTCAGCTGCCTCACGAGCCAGTTCTCTGGCCTGTGAAGACAAGGACCCTCGACACTGGCCTGCAACACTTCAAACTGGCATGTAATACTATCATAGTTCATTCTTCTGAAACAGGTTGAATAACAACGATGTGACTAGACCTTAAGGTGTGACACAAAAGATTAGTGTCTGATGCATATTTGGTGGTAAGAGGAAGAATCTAAGCTTTGGAGTCTGTGGGCTGTGCTGCTGGGACCTTGGGCAGTGACATGGATTTGATGGCTTGGTACTCAGAAGGGACCAGTAAGTGGGCGTGCTGCTGGCTCTAACAGTGACAGCAGCATTAGAGCTGGAAGCCTGGAGATCACCCAGACGGGGACTTCTCAGGCTCTGGTGTACATATGTCACCCTGGAGTCCTGCTCAAATGCAGACTGATTCATAGGTCTGCAGCAGGCCCTGGCACCCAGCATTCTAGGCTCTTTAAGGAGAGCTGGTAACATTGATCCAGGGGCCTCCCTCTGAGATGCTGGGTCTAGTTAAACACTTCTGTTTTATAGAGGGGATATCTGAGCAGAGAAAGGGGAATTACTAGAAGTCTGTAGACACCTAGGGGATTCCTGCTTTGGTGAATTGCAAAAGTCTCCCTCCCTCCCTTTCTAATAGTGTACTTGCTTCTGCCCTCTACCTGCCCAGCTCAGGACTGAGAAGAAAAATGTGACCATGCAGGGACCCAGATTAGATTTAGTCAAGGTCAGCCAGGCATGGTAGAGCACTTCTGTAATCCGAGCTACTCTGGGCGGCAAAGACAAGGTGGTGAATTCAAGGCCAGCCTGGTAAAGTTAGCAGACCCTATCTTAAAAGTAAAATAAAACAAAAAGGGCTAGGCGCATGGCTCAAGGGGTGAGAGCAGTTCAAACCCTAACAACACACATAAACACACACACACACACACACACACACACACACACACACACACACACACAACAAAGAAGCAGTTACGATAGGAGACTGCATGGGTAGCTTCTATTGGTCCAGCTCGGCCACTATAGGATTTTCCTGTTGTTCAGTCCTGGCGCCCAGGATTTATAGCATTGGGATCCTAGCCACAGACAGATGAGCTAGAAGGACACCAGAGGTCCCAGGATACCCGGCCTAGCTGGCCCAACATTACAAAGCTGGTCACAGTCCCATCTGGGATTAGAGACCAGGTCTCATGACTCCTGGACCCATAGCTCTTGTCCCCACACCCACTGTGTACATTTAAAATACACACAGACAAGTAAGAATGTATTTTTATGTGCACTCAAGAGTCCAATGGTAGCAGAGCCCTTTGTCCTCAGCAGAGTACAAACTTGCTGTGTATGCACCTGGCAACCACTGACTGAAGGTCCCTGGAGGGCTGGTGGCACTCAGAACAGTGTGTCTCCTTATGCCAGGAGTGCCAGAGCAGGAAGCAGGGCCTTAGGGCAGGGGAGGAGGGGAGCCAGCCAGCCCAGAGCGGTTAATGGCTTCTGCAAACCTGCAGGCCAGCGTGGCAGATGCCTGCCTGGAGCCTGTGGCCTTTTGGTCCTCTCTAGACGGCCCTGGCCATTCTGGATCCCCCATTCTGGATCCTGCAGGATGTAGGGCTGGAGGGTGGGCCACGGTGGCAGGGAGGGCGGCCTACCTGTGGCAGTCGTGCCAGATCCAGGCGTGGCGTCCATTCTTGGGACGGAAGTCGGACTGGCCGTTGTTGTGGATCTGGGAGGAGAAACGCAGCAGGCGGCGGTAGCCCGTGGTGGGGTTGGTCTGCGCGGCCGAGGCCGAGAGACAGTTCTCCTCCATGGCGCACTGCAGCATGAACATGGGCCGGTCCTCCAGGTAGGCGGTCTGCTGCACGATCTCGGCGTTGAGGACCAGGTCAGGGGCGGCTGGGGACACAGACACGGGTCAACAGGACGGGAGAGGCACGCCTAAAATGGTCAAAGCTCCATCCCTGCCCTCCTTTGCAACTGGCTCAAGGGCACCTCAAGGTTACCTTCCATGACCCCAAAGGGCTCTCTGCCTTTCCTGGAGTGGGGGAGGGGCTCTTTGCCACCCCTTCAGCTACAATTGCAGGTGAGCAAATGCTGACAAATGTTGAGCCTCGGTGACGGGCACACCAGGGTTCCCTATTCTTTCTCCTCTCAAGTGACTTCAGACTTGCCATAAAAAATCAAAAAACACCAATAATGATGGGAGAGAGAACAGCTCAGCCCCTGTCTGATTCTTTGGGGAATGACAGATTTTTCAACATGTACACTTATAGTCTGCTAATACTGTTCCCCTTGAAACACATCTTGACTGCTGATGTGTATCCATTATGAGAATCTTTCATGGCTACCTAATATTTAATTCATCCCCCTGCCTATCCTGTCTTTTTAGATATGTACATAGATTATTTGGAACTTTTCAGTTAAGGACAAATCTGTGTGTATAAACTTCTTTTTTTTTTTTAAGACAGGACAGGGTCTGACTATGTAGCTCAGGCTGGTGTCCAACTCAAGATCCTTCTGTTCTGCCTCCCCAGTGCTGGGATTACAGGCATAAATTACCAAGCTTGGCTTTTTCTGTAGACTATATTTCTATCAGTGAAGTTGCTAGGAGAAGGAACTGTGTGATTTTAGAGCTCTGATGCGTATTGCCAAATTGCCTTCTAAAAGGTTCTTCTGTTCCCATCTCACACACTCTTCCCCAGCTGCCTGACTTTTTAGAAATGTTGGATTTCTTCAATTAGTGCAGCAGGTGCTAAAGGAATGTTTGACAGCTCCTGTCCATCACTAAGCATCACAGCAGGAGGCTTAGCTTCTTTACACGGATGAACAATAGATACCCTGTATTTCTACAACACTTCAATTCATAACAGTGTCCTATGGGACTACTTGATGACAGAACCTGCCATGTTTTGTTTGCTGGCAAGTTGTGTGTAAATGTCTCAAGTAAATGTGGTCTGGAGTTTTGCTCCCCCAAGTCCAGGGCAATGGCTCAGCTGCCTCCCTGCCTCCATCTCTGACGCTCAGTAAACACAGTTCATTGGCACTAATGGACTGGCAACCTTGGGAAAGCAAATCTTCCCACAAGAATTGGGTGTGGGACAGAGGATAGGAAGGAGGACATGTGACAGGATGTGGGGTGGAAATGGAGGACTCCCATTGCTGACAAATGTTTCCCTTCCAGGGCAAGAGGGGTTGCAGCACCACTCAGTGCCCACACTTTCTTCTGGGGTGTGGTGTGAGTCTCCTGTGTTGTCTGTGTCTGGTTAATGGTGGTGCACAGCCCTCTACCAGGCTCAGCTGAGCACAGGAGTCTGCATTCGGGTCCCCTTGGACTCAGGAGTATTCTGACACCTGCCACAGAATTGAGACTTGGCCTCCCTGACATCCAAGACAGTCATGAGAGGCCTGGTCACCTGCCACCTCTTGAATATTCCAGTGGCCACTGTGCTGGGCCCTTTGGACAGAGTTAACCACAGCAGGAATGGAGCCACCCAATATTCTAGCAAGCATTTGCAGGAAAATGGGCCCTGATGGGAATTAAAATATGGGGGTGCTGCTGGGTGGGGGTCAGGAAAGACTTCTTTAGGAGAAGTTGGTTTTAGTTTATACTGAAGGATGAGAAGGGACTGGAGGAAGTAGCTTTGAGGCCGAGTGAAGACAGGGAGGATGCCTCAGACAAAACAAGCAACTCATGCCCCAAGGCATGCAGGAGGAACCGGGCCAGTGTGGTAGGGGCACTGCAGGAGCCCTGTGCATGTCCCTTGGTTCCTTTAAGCTCAGTGGATCCTTGGGAGGGAATAGAACCAGGAGAGAGGTTAATTAAAAATTTTTGACCAGTTCCTACCTTTCTTCCACCTGTTTTTATCTTATGTTACCTTGAATTTTTATTCAGGCTTATATTATCTTAATTTCCTTTTGGAAAGGATGGGATATGGCAAATAAAAATATAAGGTTTTTTTTTTTTTGGAGGCACTGGGGTTTGAACTCAAGGCCTCGTAATTGCTAGCCTCTACTACTTGAGCCAGCAGCCCTTTTTTGTTGGGTATCTTCAAGATGGGATCTTGTGGACTATTTGCCCAGGCTCGCTTCAAATTGCTATCCTCCTGATTTCTGTCTTCTGAGTAGCTAGAATTACAGGTGTGAACCACTGGTACCCAGCAAATATAAATAAACTGATGAATAAAGAAAGCCTCTGACAGGAGAATGGCTGTTCCTTTCTGTTTGGATGCTTCTCCTTGGGGACTGGCAAGGATGGTGACCTCCTACCTCTCCTCTCAGACAGAAGTGATAGCTTGTGACCTGCACAGAGAAGTTGGCATGGGGGATGGGCGGGTGGTGGTGGTAAGAGTCCTGCTTTGCAAGAGTGGGCAAATGCCGAATGAGGCTGAGGGGTGGATGGGGATAGCTCAGGTTTAACCTTGTCCCTGGCCCAGGTGATGGTGAGATGACAGTGCACCACTGTCCACTAAGCACTTGTACATGGTAACTGTCACATTCCCTTCCAGTGTCTAGGAACAGCAGCAAGCATAGATCCCAGTGGTTAGCTAACCTGGCCAAGATCAGCTAGCCAGACAGGGTCTGCAGTCATGTTTTCTGGCAGCTCCTGGGGCCCACGACAGAGCGGCTCAGTGTAGATTTACAAGGCCAAGTAAGGGTGTGTGTGTGTGTGAGGGAGGACTAGGGGAGGGACTGGGCAGCACAGCCGCCCACAGGGCTGTCTGGCTAGTCCTCTCTCTCATTATGGAAGGGGACCATCCTAAGCTAGTCCGAGTGAGGGGGTCCTGGCTGGGCTTCCCCCTTCCAAATATGCCATGTCTCTAGGATTCCAGGGAGTGACCAGGCACCAAGGTGGATGGAAAGCAAGATGCTGACACACGGTGAACACCTGGTATGAACGTCAGCTGTGTCCTGAATCTCAGAGAACAGGGTGGTCTTCTGCATTTGACTGCACAAATGGGAACCTCAGCCACAGAATTCCCTGAGCTCATGGAGACAGTCAATAGTGGCCCCAAGTTCTCAACCCAAGGCTCCCAGTAGGACTTCCCTCTTGCTTCCTCTCTACCATGTCATCAACCAAGGTCCTGTTGGGGTTTGGGGCAGGTCATTTGTCCCTCTTTCTCCAGGTTCTTCTTGCTTCACCAGAATTCCTTCTACTTTCCTCCTGCTCATGGTGAAGCCCCACAGCCTTGTAAGGAATAACCAATGGATCTCTTGACACCCCTGGAGCTGGTGGGACAGGAAGGGTGGGAGGTGACCCCAGGGACTCTCACTTTCTGAGCAGGCGACTCCAGCACCATACTGCACCCCACCCTGGGGGCAGACCACGTCCTCGTCATGGTGACAGTGGGCCAGAGACAGCTCCGTTCCTGAACATTTCACCCCGCTCATGATCACTTTGTTTGCGTTGTCGTTTCCGTGCCAATACCAGGTCTCCTGGAGGGGTCAGAAAAAAAAAAGGCAGTATATCACCCTGAATCGTCACTTTCTCATGATACATCAACTCATAGCCTCACAAAGAACCCAAGGTGTTATGATCCCATTTTTCAGGTAGGGATGATGAGTCAGAGTGACTCGCCCCAGCCATGCAGTTAGTTGGGGCAGAATGAGTGAGCATCCTAGTTTCCTGACCCTAGCACTGGATTCTGCCACTCTCCCCTTTGAGAAAGTACAGTCAAATTTGTGATCCAAGAACTGGGCATCGTTTCATGTCAGGAATGACAGGCACCCTTAAGTCATGTTACTCTCTCATCCTGAGTAGGGCAGACAGTGCTGCCAATCATAGCACTCACTCCTCTAAACCTGAGTGTGTTCTTGACACACTGCTCCAGGAGACCCTCCCAATGGTCAGAACTGCAGGAGAGAAGAAATCTGTTTGCTTATGTCAGTAATGAGGGAGCTAGCTTAGACAGTCTAACTTCTGGTCTTAACCCTGGGAAAAGCAATTCGGAATGGCTCTGCACAAAGGTTGGGGAGCCCCCCAGCCTGTCTACGGGGCTTCAAAACATGGTTAGGCTGGTGGAGTGGCTCAAGTGCTAGAGTGCCTACCCAGCAAGCATGAAGCCCTGAGTTCAAACCTCAGAATTGCTAAATAATTAAATAAAGGAAGCACAAATTATGTTTATACACACACACACACACACAGAGAGAGAGAGAGAGAGAGAGAAGAGAGAGAGACAGAGTTAGAACAAACTTTTGCACTTGAGGGAAGTTTCCAGCAGAGAAAAACATCAAACCAGGATCAGGGGAGGAGGAGTCAGGTACAAGAACACAGGTACCTGTGTTGAGTCAACTTGGCTCAGCCACAATATACAAATATGTGGTCAAACACTATTCTAGATGTTTCTGAGAAATAGGTTTTGGAAGAGATTAAAATTTAAACCAGTTGATTTGAGTAAAGCAGATTACCCTTGCATTGTGGGTGAGCCTCACCTAGTCGGTTGAAGACCTTAGGAGAAAAGACTGAGGTTCTTTGGAGAACAGGGCATTCTGCCTGCAGAATTCTCTTGGATTTGAGCTGCATCAGTTCTTCCCTGTGTCTCTAGCCTGTCAGCCTGCCCTGCAGAATTTGGACTTGCTAGCTTTCAATATCATGTGAGTCAAAGCCAATCTCTTAAATTTATCTATTTGTCTGTCTGTCTGTCTATGTGTCAATATAGATTTAGACATACTCCTCTGTTTTTACAAGTTGTGCATCCATGGATTCAATTAACCTTAGACTGAAAAAAAATATTTTTGGGGAGTACTGGGGTTTGAACTCAGGGCTTTGTGCTTGCTAGGCAGGTGCTCTACCACTTGAGCCACTCCACCAGCCCCTTTTGCTCTGGTTATTTTGGAGATAAGGTCTCTCTTTTTGTCCACTTTGTCCTGGACTGCCATCTTCCTATTTATCCCCCCTGTTACTAGAATGACAGGTGTGCACTGTCATGCTTGGCTTTTTTCCTTTGAGATGAGGTCTTGCAAACTTTTGGGCCCAGGCTGGCATGAAGTCACAATTCTCTTCATCTCAGCTTCCCAAGTAGCTAGGATTACAGGTGTGAACCATCATGCCCAGCTTGAAAATATATATTTAAAAAAACTGTATCTGTACTGAACATGTATAGACTTTTTTTGGTTATGATTCCCTGAACAGTATGAAACTATTCACATAGGGCTTACATTGTATTAGGTATTATACATCATCTAGAGATGATTCAAAGCCCAGGTGTCTTGGGAATGAGCTGACAGGGAACCAAAACAGCAAGACAACCACTCTATTAAACTGTGGCACTATTTTTTCACTTTCCTTGGAGAATCAGGGTGTGACCTAACTTGTCTTAGCGTCGTCCTGGGGAAGCTGAGTTCCCTGAGGGCATGGGCCACTGTGTCTCTCCTGGATGCTGGAATGAGTAACCACAGGGCAGGAGCCCTGGGCTGTTCTGGTTCAGGTCTCACAACTTCCCCTGGGAGCAATCTAAGCCCCAGCCAGCTCATGGGAGACAGACAGGCTCAGCAAAGATGCTGAGTTCTCTCTCCTCCCTACTCCTCTCTCCAGGAAGCCCCTTTCTTAGGGACCAGGGGCTGAGGTCAGGTGAGCAAGATGGGTCTCAAAGCTTTCTCTGCTCAGTGAAAGTGTTTAGACTCAGGAGACCAAGGACTTGGGGGTTCTTCATTCTGTGACACAGGGAGGACACCCGAGGCAGGAAAGGGTGGCCACTTTGTCCCAGACTGTCATGCAGCTGCTGATGGAAACAGTTGGGAGTAGATCCCGAGCCCCAGTCCTGTGCTGTGGTATGATGGGGGGCGGTGAGAGAGTGGGAATGCAGGACCAGAGCACAGTGTCTCTCAGCTGAGTCACCCTGTCTTTGGGGAAAAGGTCCAGGGAGGAAGATGCAGCCAATGTGACAATGAGTCTGGAGTGGCTTGGAGATTTGCCAGTGTATCAGTGGGAACGCATGAGGCATAGATGCTAGCTGGGGAATGCTCTGGCCAGAGGGGGCTTCTAAGGCATTTGGGATTTTGAGCCTGGGGCTGGGTGGTCCCTACTGCCCCAAAAGTCTGAGCTGCTTCCCTCTGCAAAAGTTACAACAGGACACAGAGGTCCAGCTGTCAGCCCAGGGAGAATCCCAGCACGCAGACTGAAATGGGCCATAGACAGCAGCGTCCACCCCCTTGCTCTGCAGCTGGACACTGAGGGCCCTGCCTCAGGGCTCAGGGCCGTAGGCGGGTAGCTGAGGCCAGACAGAGGTCCATGGAAGAAGAGGCTGAGTGGCAATGGGGAAAGTCAGGCCGGACAGAGGGTGAGCTGGGCTCTGAAGCTGGGCTCCTTACCTGGAAGGCATTACTGGCAAATCCCAGGCCTAGCTGACGGCAGACCACCATGGCCTCCACGATGCCCCAGTTCTGGCCACACACTAACCCCCACACGAGGGACCCATTTCTCTCAGTCAGCACCTCCACTCGGCCCTCGTAGGGGTTGCGGCCCCCACTCAGGCGCAGCTGTGAACAAGAAAGGCACAGTCACCAGGAGAGAAGGGAGCTCCCTACTGTGTTGCCATCACCCCCAACTTCCCCAGCAAGCCAGATGTCTCTGCCTGGCCACACACGAGTATCCTGGCATCCTCAAGAACCTTCTGTGTAGCAGTATTGCACCAGCACAGCTCTACAGTGAGGTCTCCACCTGTATATCCTGGAACCCCACACCTCCTTCACAGGCTTCCTGAGCTCTGCTGGTTATGCCATCATCTCCCAGGAGATGACATGAATAGTGTATGTGCTGTCTGGATTCTGCTGGAGCCGGTCCCTCACCCCACGAGTACTGAGCACGCACTATGTGATATACGCTGTGCTTGGAACAGACACTCAAAGTCAGATTTTGGAGCAGTAACTGCGTCCTCACCCTGTGCAAGTCCTTCAAGGACACAAGACTTCAGCCCTCACAAAGTCCATGAGGAAGGAATGGTACAGCCAACTCCAGGACAGATGGGGAAGTGGTGTCTCAAAAAGATGTGTGTGCGTTTGCTGCCCCACCCCCCACCTCCAAACCATCTTCTCCCATCTTCCAAGGGTCTTTTGTGCAAAGACAGTGCTGAGCCAGAGCTGGAGACCAGGCTGGGCTCCCACTGGGAGGAGGCCGGGCCTTGGGGTTCTAAAGTGATCACAGTCCCCTGAGGACCTGGGTCTGGGTTGATCCCTGGGGCTTAGGGCATTCACTGTAGCACCTGACTTTGTCCCTCATGAAAGCCATTTCTGGAGCCTCAGCAACAGCTGCCTTGATAAGGAGCAGTTGGCTAGGTCTTACTTGCATGCCTCCCTACTCTCCCGGCCCTCTGAACCTCCAGCCTCCTGGCCTGGCCTTGGCCATAGGCCAGGTGAGACTGTGTGTCCAGGACAGACAGACATAGTGGGCACAGTGATGGAGACTGCAGACCTCGCTTGTGTCTAGCCTTCTACAAACTTGAGGCCTGACATTCACAAGCTAGAACAGGCCTGGAAGAGCCTCCCCTTCCTCTGGGCCTGGCTTCTGGTTCCTACCCCCACCCTGGCAGCGTTGCCTGGCAGGGAAGTGAAGAGAGTGGGCACGGACCCTTCGGAAGGCTGAGGGAGCCTTATGGTTAGGGTGGCAGCCCATGGGGAGGATAAAAAGCAAAATGGCTTGTTGTTGTTTTAAATTTCCCCACTGACTGCACCTGGGGCACATGGCTCCCTTCCCTGCCACTGCCTCACAAAGACTGACTTCCCTTTGTCACCTCAAGGTCAATGGAAGGTGAGGACAAAGGGACCTGAGAACCCTGTTCTCACTTTTTCCTTCTTCCAGAGGGTGGTGAGCCCCATGCTCCCCAAGTCTAAGCTTGGCAAGAGGCTTCTGTTTCTTGGGATATCTTCGAGAAGTCTTAGATGGCTCTCTCCCTTTGTCCACTGTCACCTGGGTTCCCCCCCTTCCCCAAATGGCTTGCCATGTGAAATGTCCCTGCTAAAACTGAGGGAAGTCTCAGAGGCTTTGGCCAAAGAAGGTGGCCCATGTTGATTTAGGGATAAGGAAAACACAGCCATCAGTGGCAGCCCCCAACGTCCCAAGATGCTGCCATGGTCTTCAAGACTGACCAGGAAGGAAGGAAGGAAGGAAGGAAGGAAGGAACTAGAGACATTCCGGCTCACATGCACACAAGGCCAGGCCTGGTGAGTACTGGACTGCAGGCAAGGGCCCTGCCCAGATGGGTCAGCTCACCTAGGAAACCCACCTGCCACTCACAGAAACCCCTTGTCCCTGCTCCAAGACTCTTCTCTCCCAGCAATGAAAGAAATGAGGCTTTGCTGTGGCTGGATGAACAAACCAAAGTTTGCAGCCTTTTCTAGCAAGCCGTAGGAGAGGCTGTTTCACACTGGATGGTGTTAAAGCTAAATGTCACCTCCCCCCTCCCTCCAGAAGGAGACTGATGACCCTGATGACCCAAAGAGACTAATAAATCAGCTAGTGGGTGACTGTCAGACTTGTGTCCCCCACTCCTTAATTCTTATGTAGAAGCCCTAGCCCCTTATGTATTTGGAGAGGGAGTCTTTAAGGAGGTAATTAAAGTCACATGATGTCACATGGGGATGAACAGGCTCTAACCCTTATAAGGAGAGGAATTTTTATAAGGAGAGGAATTCTTATAGGCAGAGGAAGACACATGGGGAATGCAGCATGCAGAGGACAGGCATGTGAGGACACAGTAAGAAGGTGGCCATCCATCTACAAGCCAGTGACAGAGAATTCTTGGGAGAAAACAAACTTGCCAATGACTTGACTTGGATCTCTAGCCTCCAGAACCATGAGAACACAAGTTTCCATAGTTTGAGACCCAGTCTATGGTAATTTTTTTTTTTTTGGCAGTACTGAGGTTTGAACTCAGGGCTGTACCACTTGAGTCACTCCATCAGCCCTGTGGTATTTTGTTATAGCAGTTTGAGCTGACTGATACAGTGATAGTGCTCCATTCTTATGGACTATTCGGTAGGGGACTGCATGAGACACTATGGCTGGATGGTTCATTGGTGCCTTTGGTGTGTTGCTGCCAAGGTCAAGAATTGCTGTCCAAGCAGGGGTCCAGCTGGGGACCATCTGCATCCCAATGTATCTGCATTTTCTCATTGTTTAAATAAGCACTCATGAAGCAAGGTCAGTATGCCAGCTCTGTGCCAGATGACACACAGCACCTGATAAATTCAAGGAGCAGTCAAAAGCATGATGTGGCATTTCCTGGGCATGTCAGCAGCACTGGACAGAAAGGAGGAAGTCATCCTGTGGGCCACCTCTGTAGGCAAGGTCGCCCATGCATGAGACCCAAGGCAGCTTCACGGGCCCTACCTGAGGAAGGGAGGGCTGTGCCTCTGGTTATAAATGCTGTCCATCCCCTTTTCTTGCCCTCTGCCTCCCAGATGCTGTCTGTACTGTGCTCGCATGGGTGGGCTCTGTAGACCTGTTGTCCTCTGAGTCCTAGGAAAGGACCCATGCCAAGGGTGTCACAAGTGCAGTAGTCTTTGAGTCCCTTGTAGAAAGGACTGAGTTGTCATCACACTGTATATCTAGTCCCAGAGCAAGGTATGGCCCACAGTGGATGCTTGCACATCTACTAGGAGGTGGTCTTTATACTTATGTTTTCTCATTTGGCACATTTATAAATGCTAGGTGACAGTGACACTAACAGTGATAGTGGTGGGACCTGAGCCCTTTCTGGGTTCATGTCTGGAGAATCCCCTGGTCTATACTCTCTGAGGTCTCAGCAGCACAGGGCCCTCTGGACATCCGGGTCCTCACCTTTTTCTGAAAGCCCATGATGGGAATGTTGCATCTTACACCTGCATCTTCCTCGTGGTTGCAGCCCTGCGACTCAGTGTTGAGTTTGCATTCTATGATGGACTTCTCAGTCCCTGTGCACTGGACCTCATTGAGATGGATGGGTCCAATCCCTGGTGAGGGAAAAGAAACATATGCTGTAAAAGCTTCTGGAGAAAATTTTCTGGAACTCATGAGAAAGTCTTGGACAATAAAAATCTGCTCTTCCCATCCTCAAAACTCTGCTAACTGCCTCTGGGGTCAGTTTAATGACACAGGGCCTCTTCTCTCTGCAGAGAACATCACTAATTGTCTTTGGATTCACTCCTGCCAAAAGAGCAAAGAAAATTCCTTACTAATCTGCTGTGTGACCTTGGCCAGATTACGTGGGCTCTGTTTTGTTTTTTATTGTTTTATTATTCATAGGTGCATACAAGGCTTGGGTCATTTCTCCCCCCTGCCCCCACCCCCACGTGGGCTCTGAATATCATATTTCTCACTAATAAAGGAGCTGAACAAGACCACATCTAAGTTTCTCCCCAATTTCAATACTCCAGGCATTTATAAATGTGACAGGAGTGACTACTGCCATACCTGTCAGCATCCCTATAGGAAACAGATGGTTTATATAAACTGGATGGTTAGAGTTAGAAAAGGGGAACTGTGAAATAAAGGTGGAGTGTAGGGAAATCACACAGGATAGTCCAGTACTCAGGGGCTAATCCACCACTGTGAGTGAGGGAAGAAGCTAATATCTGACCCAGGAGAGAAGAGATGCATGGTGACCCAGTGGTCTTCAGTCTCCCTCCCTCAGGCCTATTCCAATCTACTTGCTCCATAGCAGTGTAGGAGAATCTTAAACACATCAGATCATGTGAAAATGCCCCATGGCTTCTCATTGCCCTTAGGGAGAAGTGCACAGAATCCACAGGAACCGCTGAGGGCCGCCACTTGTGCTCCAACTCTGCCTGCTCCTCCCACCTCGGTCACGAGTGTCTGTGGCGCTTCCAAGGAGTCAAGTTATCCCTCTGCTTAGCTCTGATGGAAAAGCCATCGGTTGTGTTTCTTCACCTGAGGTGCATTGTCCTCTTCTCCTGCTTCTCACTGCTTGGCCAAATTTGCTTTGTCCACCTATCATCTTGAACTTCCAAGAACCATGGCAACCGGGTACTGGTAGTGAACTGAGAGTTCTTTCTCCCTCTCTATCAAAAAACCTCCTTGACCCCTCTGCAGTGACACTTCCAGTTACTGAGGGAGGAAGGACTTACACACACGTCTGCGACAAAATTGGTGCCATGGAGCCCAAAGGAAGGGCTTTGACAGTGGTGGGGGGTTCTGGAGACAAGTCGGTATGGAGGTGTACTGAAGCCAAAAGTTGACTTCCAGGTTAAAAGCCAAGATTCCATTTCCTTGGAAATTCATAAATTATGAGACTTTCAATTCCTTGGAATTTTATAAATTTATAAAAACAACTTCAGTAACCATGGCTGGAAGTATTCAAGGACTCAGTGCAAAGACTGTGACAGAGCCCTTGAAGCAAGCAAGGGCCACAGTTCACGAATTGAGGTGGACACAGGAGGGGGGCAGTAATCTGCAACATAGGCACCTAGTAGGATCAAAGTCGTTTGACAGCACTGAAGATGATGATGAAGAAATGATGATGATATTTATCTAACACTTTCTGTGGTTGGATTCTGTCCCAAACACAAGATTTCTGTTAACTCATTTAATCATCACAACAACCACATAAAATGATGAATCTGAGGACCAATGGGGAAGTCAGGATTTTAACCAGGCATGGACCCCAGAACACTTGAGTCTCTGAAGCTCTTCCAGGGCAGACAGGATGAAAACCCTATGTTGGAAAGGAGCAGGAGGTTTTATCTGGGAAAGAGCTGAGCTGATCTGGTCCAAGCACCCATGACTTCTCTCCCAGGATACTCCTGTTGTCAACTGCCCTGTGGAGCGCTAGCTCCTATCTGCCTATTTAAGAAGCCTTCAAGCAGCACCTCAAATCTGTCCCTTCCCTGGGGCAGCCTGACATGACCTCGCCCTTGTCTAGACTTCTGCAGCCTTTACTCTTTACACTGTTGTTCACAAGGCAATGAGTTCACAGTCAGCCAGAGGCTGAATCTAACTTCAGGATTTAAGGCTTGGGGATAACAAATCCTTGGGAAGTATCAAAACCTTTCTGATCCTGTTGCCTCATCTGGAAAACAGCAATGATAATATATATTTTGCATGGTTGAGATTGTAAGGAGTGGATGAGACAAAGTACCCAGATTTTACTAATTAATTTTTTTGATGGCCCTGGGGTTTGATCTCAGGGTCTTGCACTTTGCTAGGCAAGTGCTCTACCACTTGAGCCACACTCAGCCCATGGTTAAGACTGAGTATGTCAGGCTACTGGGAACTCAATAAATGGAGGGTATTATGCCTGGTATTGTTTCTTACATTTCATCAAATACTTGTTAGTGTAAGTAATTTCTGATTCAGGTTATTTCTCACCTTTTCCTACTTGATGTCCTCTCCTGGAGAGCAGAAACCATAACTATCCAAGATTGAGTAATAAATGAGTTCTCCCTTTAGGATCCAGTCCAAATAGCAATCTGTTGATGCTTGGGGATTGCCAGACCATAGTACAGGGCTAGTCAGGAAGGGAAGGTTAACTCAAGGGCCTAACATATTTTGGACTCCATCTAAGGATGGGTTAGTTTCCATCTGGCTTAATTTCTATATAACCTGTGTGGTTCTCTCAGAATCTGGGGATGAGGCCCTGGAAGTAGGGCCTACTCTCCTGATCTGTGTACTCATGACACATCAGTAGCAGAGTCCAGAGATGGGAGACCTAGTTTATCTCGCCATCTTCCCCATCCTGCCCAGGCAGGTGGGTAAAGGTGGGAGCTGATGCTGAAAGACAACACTGTGTGTCCAGCTGAAGTGTGCTCATGGTGCTGTGGGGTCCCAGTCCCTGGTGTTGACCAAGGTTTAACATCTTGTATCCTTGACTGCCAGCTTTTACCTACTCCTGGATTCTAGACTTACCCCCTGAATCCTTAGGACGCCCACACCACCTCTACCTTGGCTCTGCTCTCCCTATGTAGAACGGCCTTGGGTGACCACAGGTTTGGAGCAGAATCAGGGTTTTGTGGAAAAGCCACAAATAACCTCCTGGAGCATTATAGGCTCTGTGGGTCCAGATCAATGAGAGACTTAGTCAACCAAATAAGCTCCATTCAGACTTTAGAAAGTACAATAAAACAGAATAGGACATGTGGTGCTCTGCGTGTTGTAAATGTAAGCCTTGTTTCACAAAACTTTTGCTTCAGTTCTGTGTGTGTGGCAGCTCTGTCACATGTATTTCTTATTGTGGGAAAATGGATTTTAAAGCCACTCTCTAGCACTGTCCTGTCCAATACAGTAACCAGCAGCCACATGTGGCTATTGAGCACTTAAAATGTACCCAGTCTAAACTGAGACATCCTGGATTTCCAAGATGTATGATAAAAAATGCAAGCAATCTCATTAACAGTGTTTATATTGATTATATGCTGAAATCATAATGTCTTGGATATACTGGGTTAAAGAAAAGATATAATTAAAGTTAACATCATCTGTGAGCATTTTCTTATGTGGCTACTAGAAAATTCAAAATTACATATGTGGCTTGCACTGTGTTTCTATTGGACAAAGCTGGTCTAGCGTGTTGGAACTTTTTCACCAAGTGTTTGTTCAGTTGGCCCTGCTTATTCAACTGGAATGTCTCTCTTCCCTCTTCCTCCCTTCCTCCCTTCCTGCCTTCCTTCCTTTCTCCCACCCTCCCTCCCTCCCTCCCTCTCTCCCTTCCTTTCTTCTTTACTACACGAACATCTCCAGAGCACTGTGCTGGGCAGACTAAGGACACGAGATAAAAGACACAGGCCCATTACTTATGCATCGCTAAGTCTTGGAGGGGGTGGATGTGTCAATAGACAGTTGCAGCCCTGCGGTGGGGAATCCTGAATTACAGAGGGCAGAGCTCTCCATGACCTAACATCCATCCTGGTGATGCTGGAGCCAGACAGAGGCTCATAACCCACCCATTCAGCTTCCTTATTTTACAGTGAGGAATCTGAGCCCCACAAGGTTGCTCAAGGTCACCAGGCAAGTAGGTAGTTGGGCCAGGATGAGGACTCAGATTGCTCAACTCAACTCAGTCATTGCCCTTTCACTACCACTGGGTGTGGTCACTTGGTCTACTTGCTAGAGCAACAACTGAGGGACTTGTCCTGTCTGCTCAGTGACTTGACATTGAAGGTGGTACTTTTTCCTTTCTGCCTACTGGAGTTGCCCACCCAACGTGACAGGAGATGATAAATTATCCAATGCTTCTTTCAAGGTTAGCATCAAAAAGGCCCAAGGTCTCTTCTCTCTAGAGCTCTCCTGGTCCTCAGAAACTTTTGGCTGCTCTGGGCAGTGAAACAATTAGGTCACATAGCACCCGCCCATCATAAATGGAATCTCCATGTCATCAAGTGCTTGTTTATTCCTCAGAATGAGTGGCCCTTATCCTGTGGACCTTAGAAGAGCACAAACCCACATGTGGGTCAACCTGTAGGGGGAACATTTAGGAGCCAAGGGGACCATGACTTGCTCACTGAGACCTAGGAGGAAGACTGTTATGTGGCACAATGGAGATGTCACATGGCCACACAGTGCTGCTAATGATTGTCCCTGGCCCTGCTTTTCAGAGCATGCAGAGGAAACTGGCACATATTGGAAAATGGGGGTAGAGAGAAGCTCAAATATGAATGGGACTTGGCCAAGGTGAGTAAAAAGGAAGAAATCCACATCTGAGAGTTAGGAGACTTGGGTTTCAGTCTTTCTCTGCCACCAACTATTGTGGTGGCCTCAGATTTATTGTTCTGAACCTCTACTTCCTCATCTGATGAACTAGAGGAACTGATGTCCTCTCCATCAATGCTATTTATGAACCAGGACTGTCCCCAGTCTATGGAACTTCTTTCCAGCCTCAGGGAGCCATTTAAAAGTTGTCCCATGCCAGGCAGGGGTCACAGCATTCTACAGAAAGAACCAGCAGACAGCCTTGGACAGGGGAACTCCATTGCCAGAGTGTGAATGCTCTGTGCTCTTTAATTGAGCTAGAGGTTTAGTTCAACACAGGATTCTGGAGTCTACCACCAGGAAATCACTGGATATGGTGGTGTGCAGGCCCTGGGCAAGTAGGGACTATTATTTCCTCCAGACTGGGATCAATCGCACTTCTTTCTATAGAGTGATGGCCCCATGTAGGACAGTATGGGAAACTCCTCTCCCCACAGCATAGGTCTGTGGGCTGAAGAGCCTTCTTCCTCACCCCCTCCAAGCTGTAGCAGCCCACAGTGGCAGTGGCCTCCCTGCTGGCCAGTGTTGAACAGATTCCAGAAAATAACTATGACTTTGCTCATTCAAACACAGTTCTCCAGGGAAGGGCTGGGCACTCATGGGGTTACTCAGTCTGGGGTGAAGCCTTCTGAAAGACTGGGCCTCACAAGGATGAGTGGCCTCCACGGGGCTCATGTGGGGGGGAAGACAATCTGCTCTGTGTTGTCCCACAGTGACAGAACTGCTCTCAGCAGAGGATCCCCCTTGAAAGCCTCCTAGGCTTTTGTTCTTGGCTCACAGGAAAGATTTATTCAGGACACTTAATAAAAACCAGGCCCTTTCACATCAGTGCCTCGTGACGTCAGAGAGGTCATCCTCTTCCCTCTCTGTTGTCAGGGGGAAAATGTTTGCCAGGCTTTGCATCCAGGCTGCACCAGGATGGAAAGTAAGATGACGTTTGGTTCTTTCGAGGTCAGCGTGGTCCACGTGATGGAATCCTGAGGTCCTTTCCTGGAGGAAGGGCTTGGAATTTGGCTTTCCTGGTGGGGCAGCAGTGAGCATGGAGTGAGGAGTGGGGAGACCTGAGTGAAGTAATCAGCTCTGCCTGTCATCTCACCTTGCTCATTTATTCCCTTCTCTGGGCCTCAGCTTCCAAACCCATACAACAGGGACCCAATGTTTTCTAAGGCCCCTTCCAGCTCTGACTGGGGTGAGGACAAGGTTCTCTTGTGAGGTGCTACTTCCACAGGGGGAAACAGAGGGAGACAATTCTGAGGTATCACAGTCACTAGCTGGCACCATGTTCATAGGGACACATTTTCCACGTGAAGAGTGGCCCCACCAACAGCTATCCCATTTCTTACCTTGCCCAAGCCGGGAACCAGTAACAGCCTCTTTGGCAGTCCCAAAGCCCAACTCTCTGCAGACCACACTGGCTGACACCAGATCCCACTTGTCATCGCAGATGGTCCCCCATTCTCCGTTCTTGAGCACCTCCACACGGCCCTCCCCAACTTGGGCACCACCTCTCAGCCGCACCAGGGGTTGCTGGAGAGAGACATGGTCTTGCTGAGTGCAGAAGTGATGTGCATCCTGCAGGTTGTCACTGTCCCTGTGCTCCACAGCTCCTATCATTGCCAAGCTGCTGGCCAGGCTGCCAGTCTAGGAGCTGACATTGTGCTGGATTTGGGGAACGACGGAGGGGCTCATGCTGCAGAGTTAGCTCTCACACAAGCTCCCTTGGCAGCCCTCATGAGGACCTTGTCTGGGACCACTGAGAGCCCATCAGGCACCTTAACCAAGTAATCTCCCAGTCTATGCTTGGCTCCAGGATCCACCATCTGCATGACCCTCCACCCCTGACTTCACAGCCAAGAGAAGGTCCCAACTCCCAAAGACTGCAGATCCCAAATGAGTCACAAGCCTATCCTACTTGTAATAGAGCACTGTGTCTAGCCTTGTGGGGAGACTCCCCAGTACTAAGTGGACTAGTCTGCCATGATTCTGCTGTACACACCAAAGGGAGGTGGGAGGAGCAGATGCAGAAAGGGCAACAGGGAATTAGGAAGTGGGGCCTTACCAAGAAAGCCAGACCTACTCAGGCCATGACTCAGAGCAGCAATGTTGCATGGGATGGGAGCCTCCCTAGTTAAGACCAACATTTGCCCAGATGTTGGTCCTCGTCCAAGTCCAAATCAACCTGAGTCTTTGGAAGATGCAGTCCCTCCAGACAAGCAGAGAGGGTGGGGCATACAGTTTAAATGCCCTGAATGGTTACTAAAACCCTTATGGGGTTTCTGGAATTACACAGGAAGAAGACCCATTTTTGTATTGGCTTCTTGACCCCAGTGGATTTTGTCTTATAGGATAGGAGATTTGAATCCATTTGTCTGTACACTCTGGTTACATCAGTCTCTATGGTTGTGCATGTCTGTGTGTGCATGCTCACCTGCATATGTGTGTGTATGCATTCTCACCTGCATGTGTATGTGTGTATATGTGTGTATGTGTGTATATATGTGTGTATGTGTAATTATGTGTATGTGTGTGCATGTGACTATGTGTGTGGTGTGTGTGCATTTGTGTGTGTGTGTGCATGTGTGTATGTGTGTGTGAATGCTCACCTGCATGTATGTGTGTGTGAGTGTGTGTGTATGTTTGTGTGCGTGTGGTGTGTGTTGGGGGAGGCTCGGAAGTCTGCGAGGACCTGAGTTATTGCTGATGTTCATTGGATGACTGAGCAGCTGTTCTTGTCAGATCAGACCAAATCCTTGTTCTGCCCTGGCCTAAGCTGTTCTTGGCCCATGACTTCCTTCAGCCCAGGCTGGCTTGGCTGGAGCTGGTGTGTTCCCTGCACTCAGGTCACTTCGAGGCCCTAGACATCATGGGAAAGCCTGCCTTTCCACCTTCCAGTCACATTTCTCTCCCCCACTGATAGCACCTAGGGGATGGTCTGGCAGAGTGGGGTGCTATGACAGCACCCAGATTCTCAGACCCTAGGGACTTCTCTGATGCTGTCTTGAAGGAAGAAGAAACAGAGGAGAGGGTGAATGTAAAATGCCTGGTGCTTCAGGAACTTATATGCTTCCTTTCAAAACCGAACAGTGAGTAAAACTGCTGGCTTCAGCTCATTTTCTGTAAAACCGTGACCTCCCATGACCTCCCTTCCCAAGCTGTCTGGTGGGATGCAGGGGCCCCTCCCACAGAGTCCACCATCCTGACCCCAGCTGGATGGAGGTGGAGTGTCAAATAACCAGGCCTCAGCCCAGCAGGGGCCAGGCAGAGAGCCAGCTGACCATGGAGGAAAGATGGAAACCAAGGAAAATGTGATGTAAGCTTTCTGCTTTGTTCACTGGCTTGGTATGAACTTGATTGCTTTGCTTTAAACCACATAGCAGAGGAATTCCAAGACAGTAGGATCTGGTACTCTGGATAACACATGAGGAAAGTTCAGGACTCAGGCTCAGGCAGGGAAAGCATGTGGTCATCAGACCATGTGGCAGGAGGGGGCAAGTGAGGCTGTGAGCCATGGGACTGGTTTGCAGGGAGTATCATTGCCCAGGTGAGCCCATGTCCCCTGACTGAACACATCTGATGGTGTGAACATCTGTGTACTTCTGAGGCCCCTGAGGAGACTGAGGAAGTTGGGTCCACTGCCTCCCAGAAGTGCCAGGAGGTCAGGAGGTCACTCCAAATAGTCCTGCACCTGAGCTGAGGGCTGTGCTCACAGCAAGCATTTCACTCCTCTCATTTAAGGTCTAGGCTTTCATCCCAACACATCCCCGGCCTGGGAGAGGCACCCACGGTGGTTTATTGCCCTTGCCTTCATTTCCTTTCTCTATCTCTCTATGGGAGGACAGTAACCATAGCACACCCTTCCCAAGAGCAGGTCTGTGGTGCTGGAGCGGGGAGGAGTTTGGGGAGGTGAAGGGAAGGATGGAACGGGAGGCAGGAGAGGCGAGAAGAGACACAGGTGATGGTCTGGGAAGGGGCTGCTCCAGCCCACCACCTACACCCAGCTTTACCAACTGCCCTCCTCCGGGCAGGTCTCCTTCCTCTGTCCCTCTTGCCCCTGGCTTGGAACTCACATTGCCAAGGTGATGATAATTAAGTACACAGGTTGTATCTGGGAACTTCACCCCTGATCAATGATCAGCCACTTCCCCTCCCTCTCCTCTTCCTGAGGACTGTTCCCTCCCAGTTGTCCTGATCAGAAGTTTCCAGAACAGATAAATCACAGGGACCATTCAGTAGGTATTAAAAAAAAAAAAAAGAGCAGGAGAAAAAAAGCTGAAGGCCAAAGCTAGGAGTGGAGGCACACACCTATAATCCCAGCTGGAGGTAGAGATGGGGAGGACCAAAATTCAAGGCCAGCTCAGGCAAAAAGTTAGCAAGACTCTATCTCAACCAACAAGCCAAGCATGGTGGGGCACCTGTGGTCCCAGTTACCAGGAGGTGTAGGTAGGAGGATCAAGGACTGAGGCTGGCCCCAGGCAAAAATGCAAGAACCTACCTGAAAAATAACTAGGGCACCTTCCGTTTTTCAGAGAAAGGGTCAACATGGCATGATTGGGACAATTCACTTGTCCTGAGAAGTCAGTCAGAGGAAATGGAGGAGCTCATTTGTGTGGGAAGATGGACATTACTTCTCGAATACACCCCCAAACGCTCACACATGCTCTCACACACCACTAGGCTGGTTCATGCAAGTAAAACGTGACCAGATGACTTGGACGTGGCAATAGCGTGTGTTCTGTCTTGGTGGAAGCGTCAATTGCTATCCTTTCTATGGTAAAATAAGCCATTGTAGCTGACAGCATGTGCTTTGGGGAGTCACATCCAGCTGCCAAAGGTCCCTGATGCTTTTCTCCTTCAGGAACTGTGCCGGAGCACAAGGTCCCTGTCTGGCCCCCCATACCACCTGCTCATGCACAAGGAACCCATAATGGCTGACAAGGGGACACTCCTCATCCAGGGGCCCATCCTCCACAAAGAGGACTCTGGTCTCCAAGGAAACCATAGCAATGGTGGTCTCGGCTAGGCCTGGCTCTCCTCCCTCTTTCCTTGGGTCCCTTCTGCTCTTGTTTACCCCTTAGCCTGCTAAAAGCCAAGTGGCTACACTTCTTGCTCCGTCCTTACCTCTGGCTTGTAGGCTTTCCGGAATCTCGAGGGCCCATCAGGGCTGAAGACCTGGCCAGGCACACAACTGACCACAGCTGGCTGCCCATTCTCACAGGTAGCATTTTTCACGGGGTCCCGTGACACTGGGGGTCCCAGCTTGCAGCTGGAGATGTGGGCCTCGGTGCCCGTGCAGTTCATGGAGAACTTCCAGTAGCGTTGCTTCCTCTTAGAGGCAAACATTCTGCAGAGGGTAGCAGGGAGGCAGGTGAGCAGGGCACCCTACAATGCACCCAGTTCCTTCTAAAACTTGGCAGAAGTAGCTCCTAGAGCTCAGCCTGGCTTCCCAGATGGAGGGGCTCTGCTCAGTGCACACACTGAGCAATGAGAGGCACAACCCAGAGGGGCCACGCAGCCTCCTGACCTCAGTATTTGTGTGGTGAAATAGTAATAAACTCCATGGCTGCACATGGTGACACATGCCTGAAATCTCAGCACTGGCAGGAATCTCTCAGGCAGGAAGACCATGACTTTGAGGCCAGCCTGGGCTATGGCTATATAGCTGTCTCAAAAGAGAAAATACCACTAAACTACTACTAATGATACTGAAGTCTATAAATACAAAATGCCAAAAGGAATCTAAAAGAGGTAAGGTCCTTGGCCCCAGACCACCCCCCATGGTTGGCCACCCTAACTCTTCAACTAATTTTAGCACTATCTGTTGTTCCCCAGGTCTACTTCCCTTTACCAACAAGCAGTACAAGTTGACAGCTACACTCTGTCCCAATGACATGCAAGATTAAATGCATAAATGCAATGACAACTATCCTAAGTGACACCATATGTGGAGTCAGAGCACAATTTGCTCAGAAACAGAAACTTCTGATTTCATCAAATCCTCACCCAGGAGAATCAGTGAGGTCAAGGTGGTCTCAATGCCCTTTCCCACGCAATCTCTTAACCTTTGTTTCCCATACATGCAAATCGTTCCTTTACATGTTTGGTTTTCTTTTGATGGCAGAATATGGATTAAGGTAAGGCAAAGTTTTTTCCCTCAAACAATAACCAGCCAATAAGTAATGCAACCAATAAGGAGTAAGTAATACAGGCTAACAGAAAAGTTACTATGTCTCCGAGTAAAAAGATCTACTTTGTAAGATTGTTATGTGTGTTAGCCTGTTATCTGCTCTTATACCAAGATATCACAGACTGGGTAATTTTATCACCAATAGAACTTTATTTTTTCCCAGCTCACAGTTCTGGAGGCTGAGAAGTCCAAGAGCATAGTGCCAGTAGCTGGTGAGGGTCTTTTGTTGTCCCATGGCAGAAGGACAAGCAAGCATGCACAAGACAGAGAGAAGAAATTGAGCCAAACTCACTTTTATAGCAAACCCAGTCTTATGGTGACTTACCCAATCTCAGGATAATGGCATTAATCTATTCAGGGGAACAGAGCTCTCGTGACCTCATTGCCTCTTACACATCCCACCCCTTAGTACAATGGTGATTAAAATCCAGCATGAGTAATGGAGGGCAAGGTCAAACCACAGTGTTACTGCAACGGACTTAGAGTTAGGATCCCACAGGAAACACCATGCTGGGAATGGCCTCCCATGAGCCCCGACACCAAAGGAAAGACCATCTCTTAGTTCCCATAACTGGGGCCACAACCAAGTGTATGTGTGCAGATTTCCCGACGTTTGTTACATTTTCTTCTTCTTTTTTTTGGTGGCGGTACTGGCGTTTAAACTCAGGGCTTCATACTTGCTAGGCAGGTGCTCTACAACTTGATCACACCTCCAGCCCTTTTTGTTCTGGTTATTTTGGAGACAGAGTCTTACTTTTTGCCCAGGCTGGCCTGACCACGATCCTCCCTCTCTGAGCCTCCTGTGTAGCTTGGGGTGACAGGTTCATGTCACTGCATCCAGCTATTGGTTGAGATGGTGGCTTGCAATTTTTTTTGCCTGGACTGGCTTCTGACCATGATCTTTCCCAATTTTAGCCTCCCAAGTAGCTAGAATTACAGGCCTGAGCCACTGGCACCTGGCTACTTCGTCTTTTCTATGGCAAGGTAAAAACACATTACGAATTTGTCTCTTCCCAGTTTTGGTCAAAACTGTAAATAAATTCAGTTTTCCTTGTGTGTGTATATACATATACATATATGTATACATGAAGATGAACATAATCCATATATGTATGATTATACATACTCTTCTCCAGCTATATGCATATATACGTATATATTTATATACATATATACATTATACATAAAAACATATATTACATATGTGTGTATACATATATAATGTCTTTTTCTCTTGATACATGTGAACATTCCAACTTAAAGCTAAGGTTTATGGTCCCATGGTGTTCCTGTACATTATGACAGCTAAAGAGTTACTACTTTACAAAGCACTTTACACTGTTCCCAGATCACAGAAGTGTTTGTGAGATAAATAAAAAATAAAAGGGTAGTGGTTAAAGGAAAGAGAAGAGAGAAGGGGGGCCCCTCTGGTTGGAATGATGAGGACAACTTTGCCTGAGAGTAGGCTTTGAACTGGGCCTTGCATGATGGTGGGGTTTGGAGGGTTGGGAGAGGGACACCCAGTCCTCTGACAGTATCAGCTCTTTGGGACCTATGTGCTTGTCCCTGCTTGAAAAGACTCAGTGACATGTCAGAGAAAGTCGGACAGCATTGTTGGCAGCTGCTCAGGGCAGGTTCCTCTCCAGCAGGCTGACCTCGGGAGGGGCAGAAGTGGATTCTTGTCTGGGCTTTGTCTGGGACTGAATGGGATGTGAACACAGAGGAAGGACAACACATACAGATGCCACCATCACCCTCCCCCACCAGGACCGAAATTTGAGTCTTGTAACAATTCAAGTATACCTGTGGGTGTAGCCACATGGACTATGAAATACAGTCTTTCCTGGAGAATTCAGGACATATGCTTACCACAGTGACATCATAGAGCAAAGAACTCCACAGGAGGACATTAATAATTCCAGAACCACTGCCCACCCACGCCCACTTCCTGCTCTGGGAAACCTACAGCTTCCCCTCACCTTCCTCCCCCACAGCTGCAGGAGAACACAGGGGAACATCAGCACCCATTGGAGCTTTGGTTCAGGAAACTCTTGCTTCCAGCTGTCAGTGGACGCCGCCCTCTCCAGAAACAGATGTACTGAGCTCTTCATGGACCGCAAAGAACCCCCAGCACACAGAGCTGCCCCAGACCTGCTCCTGCCCTTCCCAGGCAGCCCCAGTTGCATCTGACATCAGCTCCTAGGAATGTACTGCCGACTGTGACCCTCTATAGGCCCACCCCTCCGCCATCCCAGCAGGATTCACTAGCTTCGCTCCCTCTGGACCGAGTGACTGGAGCCCCAGGGATGGAGAGATGATGTGTGTGGGAAGACGACAGCACACCCCAGGCCTGAAGATTGGAGGAATGAATGGAGTTGGGAGCAATTTCAGCTAAGCTGGAAGCTGGCTGGGCCATAGCAGGAAGTGAGCTGGAGTGATTGCACTGGGCAGCAAAGGTCCTAGCAGCTCTCCCCAGCTGAGAGGAAAGCCAGATTTTATGCCATCCTGCCAGCTGTTCACATGTATTTTCCAATTATGATTTCTGGACCTGGGGAGATCATCACAGGATAGGTTTGGGATCCAGATCCCACTGGGTCCATGTGAGCCAGTCCTTTTTCTAGTGGGCCACGGGAATGTTTGGGTGTCCTGGAACTAGTGTCAGTTCAGAGCCAGTGTCCAGAAGTACCCAAAAGATCTGATTATTTCATCTTCCACACTGAGCAGTTATCCTGGTAAAGAGCCCGTTGGTGGAAAGCAGAGAAATACCGTACGGACTTTTGGCATGGTATTGGAGTCCTTTCTCAAGGGAACTGGGCCTCCCCTTCATTATGGAGTTCTTAGTCTATAAGTTGGCTCAAGTCTGGGAACTGATTGGGGGCCATGACTTCCTGTTGTTATGATTAAAGTTAGACTTGTTCACTTGACCTAGAACAGGCCTGCTTATGCAGATCAAGGAAGCACTTATTAGGCTTCCCGTCTCATTTCCATGGTTAAGAAGCCAGGGTGGAGATGTGCCAGACTCAGCTATTCCTGATGGCTGCTCTGACTCTGCTGAAGTTTAACAGAACATGCCCCCTTGCTGTTTGTGGTTGACTGGCACCACTTGGCATTGCCACCCCTGGATTACTCCCATTGCATCTTGATTTCCCAGTTCAGTGACCACAATTCCCACTGTGAGGTGTAGCCTACAGAGAAGGGCCACTGTAGAACTCTGCGAGGACACATGATCCCTTCACAGTTATGGTGACAGCTGTGCCTTTTAGAGCTTCCCAGCATGGGTGAGGTCTTAAATGACAAATCCACTCTAATGGTCCAGTCACCCTCCACCTTTGCATCCCCTTCACCTTAGACCAAGGCAGGCTCAGCACGTCGAACTCACTCACAATAAGGGCCATTAACCAACCACACCAACCAATCAAACACGCATTATTACTCAGTGAGCTCTTAAGAGAAAAACAGAAAACAAAAAACAGTGATGATGACTACAAAATGCTGCTAGTGCCAAGGATGGAAGCCCTGAGATGTAACCATAAACCTCATTAGCTTCAGGGCATACCCATGGTACCCCAGTTCAGTAGAGAAGCCAGGGCAGGAAAGAGCTCAGCTGTGGGGCAGGAAACTGACTCCATCTCTTGGTGGTAGTGGTGTCAGATTCACCACTGTGATCCCAGCACTCACTCACCTGCACAGTGAGCTGGAGGCTCCAACCAAAAGTACTGGCTGCACTTTAGGCCACAGACAAGAAGAAAAGGGCCAGACTCAGGGAGGATATGGTTTGCCCACACTTCTACCGGAGGTAGACTGACCTCAAAGCCAGGAAAGTGGACACTGCCAGTACACAGCATGCAGCTGGAAATGAGTTTTAGTCCTGGACTGCAACTCTTATCTTTCTCCCAGTTCCTCAACTCTGAAATATACCTCTCCATCCTGGTGGTGTGGCTAGGATTAAGTGATTAAGAACAGTGTCCACCACAGAGTAAGTACTTGGTAAGCAGAAGCTGGTCCTAGGATAATTGTGTAGAGGAGACAGGAAAACCCTACTACCAACCAGTCAGCCGGCCTCCATATCCTTGAGTTCTGTATCCTCAAATTCAACCAACTGCACAGTGAAAATACTTTGGAAAAAAACAAACAAAACAGGTGTCTGTACTGACCCCATGCAGACTTTTTTCTTGTCATGATTTCCTAAGCTATACAGTATGACAACTATTTTTGCAGCATCTACATTGTGTTAGGTATTATATTAATCTGGAGATGACCTAAAGTATGCGGGAAGATGTGCACAGGTTCTGTGCAAATACCACAGTTTTATATAATGGACTGGAGCATCCCAGATTTTTGGTGTCAGGGGCTGAAATCAAGGGACTATAATTCCTGCCACTGCTTCTTTTCTCATTGGGACATATTAACCTTGGAAAGCACCACAGCACTGCAGGTTTAACTGGATTCATGGAAGTGAATTGAGTGGATCGGTTTCTCAAATCTAATGATTGCTGCAATTTCCAGATTTCTCAGAATAATCACTGCTGAGGGCAAGAAAACATTTCTACTTAAGTCAGTGCTTCCCAATCCACATATTGCCCTTGTTCAGCTACGTGGTCCCCAAGCTGTCTGTTGACACTGAGACGTGAAATTTTACTGGGATGAAGCACCTGGCACTTCACTGGGCCCTAAGCCTTCCCACATTACATGAGATCAGCTGTCAGGGTTTGTTTCCCACAGGACTGTGAGTTCCTCTTCAGCAAGGCACTCTGTGCAGGCTTGCTGGGGGGACGCTAGCCGGCCTGGCTGCGACAGGCAGCAGAAAGCCATGTCCAGGACTGACTCAGACAAGGCAGGGAGGGAAAGAATCCAGGAAACACCCAGCCTGGTCCTTACTTGGCACAGCCCTCTTACTTGTAGGCTTTGGTGTTGTATGTCTTCTCTCCAGGGAAGCCAAACATGCCACAGACCACATGGGAATTCTTGGCTGTCCAGTGCTTATCGCAGATCTGCCTCCAGGTCTTGCCTTCCTTCACCTCCACATAGCCCTCTGTCACCGGGGAGCGATGGCGAAAGGCAGAGAGAACAGGACGGATTCGGATGTCTTCCACCTGGATATTCAGGCTCTGGGAAGAGAGAGGCACGTGAGAGAGGGGTCACCTCCCTGGTCTGCTCCTGGAGATTCACCAAGCAACAAGTCCTTTCTTGAGGACGATCACTCAGAGCTCTGCTAGTCTGCCTCTGTCCCAAGCTCTGCTGAGTGCCACAGGTACTCCCGAGAGGCCCAGCACAAGCCATGCTCAGGAAGTGCTATGCGTGAGAGATAGTGGGACTACAGGGACCAAGAGGGAAGTGAGGTGACCCAGAACTGTCAGAGAGGACAGATGTGGAGAGCTACCCCATATCCTATGGAAGAATCTTCTACATGCAACTTCTTCCTGCACAGGTCTCAAAAATCTGATCATGAGAAAGTGTTCCTTGAATCTTCATGCAAAATAGTTTATATTTTGCATTTTACCTTAGAGCATATGCATGAGCACCTGTGAGTATGGGGGTGGCGGTATACCTGTGTGTGTGTGTCTCCCCCACCAATCTTTCAGTAAAACTGGAGTTTCAGTTGGGTGCTAGTGGCTCATAGCTATAATCCTAACTACTTGGGAGGCTGAGATCAGGAGCATTGTGATTTGAGGCCAGCCTGGGGAAAATAGTTCATGAGACACCCCCCCCATCTCCAAAATAACCAGAGAAAAATGGACTGGAGATATTGTTCAAGTGGTAGAGCACCTGCTTTGCTAGTGCCTTGCAAGTGACTGCAAGTTTGAAGCCCTGAGTTCAAACGTCAGTCCCACCAAAAACAATAGTGGGTTTCAGGGAGATGAAGTCCAGGTCTCCTGAAGCTGGTGGCATACTACAGGACCCTACAGAGGGTGCAGGAGGGAAAAGAGGTAGGGGCTCCCAGTGTTGAGCGTGTCCAGTGTGGGGCCCACACCTGGGAACCAAGAAGGTCGGTAGGGTTGGGGTTAATCATTCTATGGCAAAGCAAGATTCTGAATGCGTTCAGGCCCTTGGAAAAGTCCTCCTCATGCCTACCCTACTCACCTTTCTGAGCTAACTGGGGTAGAGGATGCAGTCATGGTGGAGTATGGGAAAGAAGGCTGCAGGGGAGGGAAGAAGAAGGCGTCTCCTTCATGAGCGGTCTTCCCTGACGCTGAGCTGGAATGTCCTGGCCCTGCCTATGTCCAAGCCCCAGGGATTTCAGAGAAGAAGTAGGGCCTCCAGAGACTGCCCTGGGTAAGAGGAACTGGGGAGGAGTTCCCCTGAGTTACACTGACACTTTTTACCCTTCTCCAAGGCATTCCACATCCCTCCCCCAATCAATCTGAAGGAAGCTCCCTTCCAAATGTCTTACTTCCAGTTCCTCTTCCAAACCCCTGCACTAGGGTGTCCACGGCCAGCTCTTGAAACAGTCTTCAGCAGAGTCCCTGCCCCTTTCCATCTGCCACAATGGCAGCCGCCACAGAGGTCTCTCTAAAAGAGCCATCAAACCTGTCCCTCCACTGGCTCCATTTTGTCTATGTCCTGCACAAATGACTCAGGGAGATGCCCATAAACCTTTCCTGATGGATTTCACCTATGCCTCCAGCCTCTTCAACATCCCTAGCTCCAAATCAATCCTTGGGTACCATGAATTGCAATGTAGAATGGTCAAACAGCCATCAAGAGTGCTTACCAGGGCAAGCCTTGTGCCAAGAGCCGATTGTGCCTTCTCTTACTTAACCCCAAGCAGCATCATGAGGCCGTTTAGCCTCACTTTGCAGCTGAGAAATCAGCTGACTCTAATTTCCTTTCTTAGGTCACCCTGACGTGCAGTGTGAGATGTACTCTGAGCAGGGCCAGGGAGGGAAAGGTGGGGTGGGTAAAAGAGAGCTGGAAGGAGGAATCCATTGACCTGACTGCCCTCAGCCTGTCCAGTCAGGATGCAAATGAGCCACAAGGTTGAACAGAACCATTATTTGGGTGCCCAGGGATCTCTGTCTCCTGCTGGTTGCAGGGTCCAAAGCCAGGCCTTGCCCCACTGATCCTGCAAGGTGGTGGAAAGTAAGTGGCTCAGAGTGATGCCATTTGGCCCTGGTTCCCTTCCACACAGAGTGGAAGAAAACCCGCCAGAGGCAGGATTATATTTTCCAGTCTGGATTCTGGATCCTTTACAGCCCTCATCAGGCCACTCATGCCATTGAGACACGTGGGTAGGGACAGTCCAGCCTCCTCCTGCCTCTTTCCACCTTGGAGGCTCCTGGCATGCAGTGTGGAATGCGTCATGCCCAGGAGGAAAGTTATTGCCATAGCACCAGTCCCTGGCAGGCAGGCTGACCTCATTCCATTCACAGATCCTTTCCCTGGCTGTGGGCAGTGGCACAGGCTCATGGATGGTAGATGTGATCCCCCAGCACCATACTATAGAAGGTGGAAGGCCAGCTGGGGAGCTCAGCAGACCGCCATGAAGGACTGCACAGGGCACAGGACCCGAGGCCAGCACCCAGGGTCCCATCTGTAAGAAGAGTCTCTGCTCCATGTAGAACAGGTATCCTTGGCAGATCTGTGGGCTCCAGGATGTCAGCAATGCAGCAGCTGGAAAGAGAAAGGCCTGCCCCAGCTGTCATCATCCTTATTCGTCTCCCAACTCAGCACGTGTTTGTGTGTTCTGGGGTGTGTGTGTGTGTGTGTGTGTGTGTGTGTGTGTGTGTGTGTGTATGATGATGTGTGCCTGATGTGGATTTCCATGTCATGTGGGTGTTTGTATGTGTGGAGTGAATGTATGTGTCTTTGAGGGTGGGAGGAGAAGGCACTCGTTCCCACCAGTCTTAGACAAGCAACAGGACTGGCTTTTTCCTTGTTTCTCCGAGATGGGATGTCTTCTCTCCTCATTTGATGGAACCAAACCCCTCCCATTCTGTGGGGCTTGTATCCATCTCATTTACTCCACAAATACAGTTCCTGTGCCCCATGGGCCAGGTTTCTTCCCTACAACCCAACACAGAGCCCAGTCTCTTCTTTGAATAGTGACTACCATGCTCACTAATTGAATGTTAGTCGATTGCACACTAGGCCCTGTGCACACAGCTTTACGTCCATTCCCTTAACTCTTGGGGCAACCTCCGCAGTGGTTACTGGTATATCCCTTCGTAGGTGAAAACATAAGAAAACTTGGTGAGGTTTTACAACCTGTCCAAGTTCACACAGCCTATAAGCAGGTAAACAAAGATGAAAATAAAGTTCTCATTCGAAGCCCATGCTCCATGCTCATAGTGACCACTGGTCTCGGAGCAGCCCCCATTTGTCGTCCATGTCTTGTGTATTACCTGGTATTGAAGGCAACCCACAGGGGGTAGGGCCTGAGGCTTGGACTTCTAGGTGGTTCTTTTGAGACCTGCTAGCATTGTGCACAAAGTGCAAGAGTACACCCTGAGAGACTGTGATTCATAGCGGACTGTGTACCTAAGGGAAAAGCTGGGCTCCCAGCTGCTCCTGAACTCAGGCCAGGAGGACGCAGCAGGGCAATCCTCTGTGGCACGCACTCCACGCTCGTGCGAGCTCCCCAGAAACCCTGGCTGCTGGCAGCCCTCCAGGTTCAAAGAAACCGCGTGCACACAGGCATGGCCTCTTGCTCCTTCACCGCTGTGGAATCCTTCCATAACCACAAGCGCTCAGATTTACTTTTTCCCAGAAGTTTAGCCCCAAAAGAGAAGATGTGAAACATTAAAAGAGACACAGTATTCTTTCTGAATGCAGGGCTCTCTGGACTTGCTAGTTTAAAACATAGCCCAGCAACCCACAAGGTGGTCATGCATTGGTCACATCTTAAAATTCAGACTAAAACCTGAAAGCTGTCCTTCTTGCCAGAGACAATGGCAACCCAGGCCTCCAAAAGGTGTCCCTTCCAGAACTCCCCTGGACTTGCCTTAGATGGGACTCATCAGTGATCACTAAGCAAGGCCCCTGGAGTGATTAGCTTCTAGCAGGGAAAACCATGGTGCAGCCAATCCAGGGGAGAGAGACTAAGGAGGGATGCAGGGAGCACTCCCACAGGGACAACCAGGGTTGTGCCCCAATGTCACTGAAGATTGGCAGCATCCATCAATGACTTGCAAATTCCAGAATGTGGCAGTCTGGGGCTGTTGCCAAAGGAGTGAGTCACGCATTTTGCAAGTCCCGCTGGAGATTGCATCAGGGGATGAGGCAAGGAGAAGCAAAGCACCAAGCAAGTGGCCTGCAGGCGACCATTAGCCAGTGTCTAGAAGCTCAGCCCCAAGCACACTGCCTCTCTGGAGGCACGCTGGCAAGGCCAGACCTTAGTTCCCTCCATCCTAGGCCCTCCCAGTGAGAGAAGTCATCTGGGACTGGACTGGGGTGGGAGACAGACCAGTCATCATGCTGCCATCCCATCAGACTGTGCCACTGCTTAGTGGAGCCCATGCCCTCTGCTCAGAATGTAGCATGCTGCTGTATTCTGTTTTTACCAAGTTCCTGTTGCTCTCCAAGCTTGCTTTTTTGACTATGGGTCAGATTCAGACCCATTTTCCCCTCTGTCATCTTCCCCAGCATCTAGACCAACCAAACGTCTTCAATTCTTCCTTTCCTGGAGTCACCACATGACACACCAGCCCTGCCAGCTTTGTGTACCATAAGCTTTGCGTCCCTTTTCACCCTTTTTCTTCCTTGCCCTTGCAGTCCATTTGATCCCTGCGATGCCTCCTCTGTCTCCATCACTTTTTCATCCCCACTTCTGTGGTCCACACAGGTGTGTGAGAATTGTGGAAGACACAGAAGGAAATTAAAATTCCATCGTCTTACCTAGGCCCAGGCTGTCTGCCTAGCTCCCACCCAGTCCACAGGGAACATTCAGCTGCACTAGCCACGGTGGATTGCTCAGACCTTCTGTGGCTTCCCGATGCCATAGGCTCAAGCCAGGCCATTCTCTGTGATTCTCTCCTGTCAATACTTAAGGTCAAATTTAAGGATTCATTCATAAATGTTTATTGATTGCTACTATGTCTTATCCCAGGCACTGCATGAAACTTTGGGATGTACAGGTCAACCCTTTAGACAAGTTCTCTGCTCTCATGAG